TTAGTTACTGAAAATAAAGCGCGAACAAGTAGCATCCAGACAGAATATTAACAGAGCTGAAGTGTCAACAGTTTATGTGCACGTGTGGAGATCGCTCGCGGGCCACGACCTCTCGGCGCTGTGTTTTTCTCTCCCGTCGCCCCCAAACATCTCCTTCTTTATAACACACGAGAAAGAGAGAGAGAGCGATATAATAGGCACGAATGAGAGTGGGGGGATCCTTTCATTTTTTGACGCCCGGTGTATTTGATTCCACCCTTGTAATAAACCCTAGGGGTCCACGAGCGCCTTCTACATGTCATATCGACACCTCCGGGTCCATATTTTTTTCTTCTTTTTTTTACTTTACTCCCTCATCCAAATCAGAGGGGCGCACGCGGGTAATTTGCTTTCTTATTTTCTCGAACTCCCCCGTGCTACTGCTTAAGCTTGTACTCGCGATTTCGTCACGCCGTAGCAGCAGCGAGGGGTGTCCTTCGTCATTATGCGCGATCTGTGTGTGTGCGACACGCAAATCCATGCGGTCGTTTGGTTTCTGCGGAGGCTTTTTCCGACTTCCGCTCTACACACACTGTTTGCTTTTGTTCTTAGATGAGCTGGCTTTTCATGAGCTTTTATGCGTGTCGGGAAACGCAAACATATCTATCTGTTGAAATTTTCATGAACAAGTCACCCGCGAATACTTTATATACACGGGTACATACGAATCACTGTTTTATACCTTGAATTCGCTCTACCTGAATTAACTTACGTTACGTTAGGAATGTAATTTAAAAATTTGCATAATGGTCAAGACAAATTCAATTGAAAGACTACTACCTACTTAGAATAGTAATTGATTTTAACATTGATATTTGGAAAATTTATAAAGGATCCGAAAAAACTTGTTTGAGGTATTAATACATTTGTCATTTAAAAATTCAAAAATTGTTTTTATCTAGAGTCGATATGTCAGTTTTCATTAACGAAAGAAATAAAACTTTTCTTTATTTTAAATAGCATAGACCACTGAAGTGAGATGTAGGTATCTGATCTCAGGGAAACCTTCACCCATGATTGGAAGCCCTGTAAGAGCTTCGTCTCTTGGAGAAGCTTATCTAATCAAGTTTAAGCTACTCGCAGACCAGAACTTCTCAACTCTTTTGGTTTCTTTGGACAATCTTATTAAGATGTTGAAGATGTTGAATCACCAATGCGTAAAATACTAATAGGATAATGAATTTTTATCCAATAAAAAGTTTATTGAATGATATGCTTTATCTAAAAGATTTGTTAAGAATTCCTCCATCAGAAAAAAAATGTTGAAAAGCTATTTTGCACTCTTATTGAATATTGAAATTTGACAAGAATACATCAGTTTATGCATTTTAACTGAAGTATACCAAAGGTTTTCTATTTCAAGCGGTCCATCAATCGAAAAACCATCCATGTCTGACCAAATCAATGTATACCTTGTACTACTACTGCAACTACTATATGGAATAGAGACATTATCAAGGGTTTCTCGACGCGACAAGAGACTGAGAGAGCGGGAATTCCTGAAATTTCACGCACTAGACTCTTTTTGGCGCTGGAAGTCCTTTTCGCCTGCTCGCTTTGGCACTCGCGCCTGAGAGAGAGGGAGAGAGAGAGAGAGAAAGAGAGAGAGAGAGAGAGAGAAGAGAGAAGGAGAGAGACAAAACTCGACGTAAGAAGCCTCTAAGAAGAGCCGAGGAGGCGCTCGTCGAGGAGTGTCGCCGCTTCTTTGGCGCGTAAAAGTCGCCGCATGCGCATTGCGAAAAAGAGAGTCCGCCCCAGAGCGACTCCGCCCTTTCACGAAACTCTCTTTATTTCTCACTCTCGCGCCACCGCCACCGCTTGCACCTTATATGCTTTGGCATACCTCCCCTCTCCGAATCCTAGACTTTCGTTGACCTTACCGTCATTTCGACAAATCTAAAGAACGTTGAGGAATCAGATAGGCTTCGCGGTGAGATCATGTAACTTTTCTTGTAGTCATTAATTTTCATTTTATATAAGAAAATAGTTGTGATTACGGTAGTAAAGTCTTCAGCGATTTGTTGTTTTAAGCTGATTTTCTATACTTTTATGCCATGCAAATATCTTATCTTACAGTTTCTAAGCGTTGCTGCTGATAATGATGTGTTAAATAAAAAAAAAACAATAATAAAATAAATGCCAACTCCATATCTAAATTTAAAGCAAATTTTACTTGATATTTTTAAATAGCCTCTAGAATCAATAGAGTTACTTGTGGTCCAGCAATACGAGGATGTTTCAATCTATAAGCAGCTTCGTTAGAATCGCATGAATTGTGCCGAAACTAATCCACGAGTCTAATTGGTTGTTGACGGGGTAGCTTTGCTCGATTGTCCAAGGTCGATAATTGGTCCAATTAGTCTGTCGAAAAATATTAGCTCGCTGTTATAAATGAATTCGAGGTACACTGGATTATACGGATTCTATACGAAAATTGATAATAAATTAAAGTATATGCAGCATGTAACAGATATTTTTATTATCAAAGAATATTGAAATAATTCAATTTTGACAATTTAAAATGCAATATTCAATTTATTAGAAATCCAACGGTATAAGAATTCGAAAAATCTGCTCTATGAGAAGATAGATAACGTTTGCAGATATCGTCTGAAATCACACATTGGAGTATTTGGACAGAGAGTGGTTAAGTCAGCGGAAGCCGACATCACAAACGGACAATTGGCCAAATTAGCGGGCGATGTTATGACAAGGGCAAACTTGAAAAAAAAAAGCGCGAGAGCGTCGCTCGCGAAGAAAAGACTGTCGCGCGAGAGTCGACGACGACGACGACGACGACGGCACTAGGAACAATGCCAGAAGCGGAAACAAGGCGTGCACGTGCATGGCAACCTGCCACGAGGCGCTTTGCATTGTTGCTCTTGCGCCGACGGGGATGGACGTGTATGTGTGTGCAGTAACATAGCGCGCGACGCGACCCCTCTCATCCGTCGCTCCGGGCAAGATTGCGCCACGCTCTATGTATGCGGGTGCGACGAATGTTTTTCAACAATCGTGTTGTTGCTATTTGTCACCCTCGATGGCTTTCGCTTTTGTAATGCTCGCATTCCCGACTGGAAGATCGCCGTTTAATGCAGATGATCCGTTTTGCCTTGCTATGCCCCGAGACAGAAGCTTACTGAAAATTACAATTTTCTGGTAGAATAATACAAAAGCAATTAGATACCTCGATCATGTCAGTCCGCTAAATACATTGAAACGCCTACGATTCAGTAACGGTAATCAATGATTAATATTGAGCTAGAGATAATGGGATCGTGTACAACTCACATCGCATACGAGAACGCCGGTGGTAAACCAGTCTGCGCACAAAGCCAAAAGCGCTGCTGCTGCACTTGCCAGGTCCCGGTGATAGGTTGCTCGTTTTCAGATGGAGAGAGATTCAGCGCTCGTTCGGCGCGCGGATGACTTGAAACCGCAAATTTCTGTATGGCAAACCACCAAATTTAGTTGAAATAGATTAGTCGTCGATGCCAAGCCATACTCCCTTTCTCTCTCGTTCGTTCTCTTGCTGGCATACTCTAATGATTCTCGAGCGCTAATTCAAATGTCATCGGTGTTTTGATTACAATTCATCTCGTCGTTGCAATACCACTGTACACCCGGTACTCGACTACGTAGTGAGTCTAATCAACAGCCGATTTTTGTTCAACGGTTTTTTGATTACACGCGGATACAGGGAACTACATTGTCCGAGTCATAGCAAATGGAGAGCAATATTGTTGCGCGTATTAAAAGTATCGAATATAACGAAATGATTATTGTTAATAAAATCGACGCTATGATTTATTTAATTTGCTAATTTTTCACGCCTTACCTAACGGAAGCTCTTGCTACGAATACGTACACTTGCGAGTTTCTTGCCTCTTTAGCCTTTGCACCCCCTTTTCTTTCATCGCGCTATCTTTCTTACCCCCTGTAGCTTCTAAACTGGTGGAGTACGCGGGAGAGGGGCCACACCGTGCACACTGTCGTTGCCTACTATGTCGTCGTCGCCTTCGCTTTGTTTTCCCTTCTTCAACAGTGTCGTTTCGCAGCTGCTGCCGCTCGTCGAGAGAGAAAGAGACAGTCGACGTTTTCAATAAGAGCCTTTAAGGATGAGGAGCTTCTGGCGTGTTTTTAATCGCTTCCGCGTTTAGTCATTATTTATTTATTGATTTTTTTTATTGCTGTCTTCATTATTTTTATTCTTCTGAAGACTAAAGATGTAATATAAGTAACGAAAAAAAATTGAAAAAATTGTAAGTAAAAAATTTATGCCAGTAGTGTATGTCGATTTTGGTCAGACATGTCATTAATTCTCATTTCATTGCTAATTAAAAAAATTTTAAGTCATAAAAATTAATCAAAAGCTATGCGAAGTGAATATCAAAATAAAAATAATTGAAATTTCAACAATTTAAAGAAATTCAGGTAACGGTTCTAGAATCCTAAATAAGGATCGATCGTTGAAAGTAAATCGCGTAAAAAAGTGTGTACGAATGGTCCAGCTGTAGGAACTCTCGGCATGGCTGGACACTGAATCCGTTGGACTCGGGGGGTGCAAGTGGCGGAATAAAACGTCAGCGCGAGTGGCATCGTCAAAAATCGCGGACGCGAGAAAAACAGAGCAGCACGCTCACGCAGCCGATGGTTTGGGGATGGTTGAGTAGAGAGAGATAGCGTGAGAGAGAGAGAGAGAGTGAGCGAGGAGGGTGTGGGGGGAGAGCACTGTTGGCGAGTTTTTCCCCTACCCCCCTGGAGTTGTCGAGTGGGGAAAAAGGCAGTGTCTCTCTCTCGCTCTCTCCCACTCTGCGAAAGCTTGGCAGCGAGCACGAGAGAGAGTAGAGGGGAGCGTCTCTCTCGCGGACGTTTTCCCGTTTCGTTCGGTCTCGTTTGCGCGCGCGTGGCGGTGGGCGGCGGCCTCAAAAATACACCGCAACCACCACACTTCACGCGCGGTCTGCAGCCGCAGAAGCCGCCAGCCGCCGCAGCCGCGGAGAGTTGAACACCCAGTATTCCATCCTAGAGCTGGCGAACGCCAACATACACACCTACTTACCGATCTTGCCGCTTTAGCCGATCATCCAACGATTCAAAGCTCAAATAACATTTATCGAGCCAAAGTGTTTAAGTCAGACGATTGAATCGTCTCGTTTTTTAAACTTTTTTGTGTTATAGTGAACGAAAGCTAAACCTTGTTGAAAACAGCAGTTGATGGTTAAGTTTTTGTGGGTTGAATTCTTTTATCAGTGTGATCAAGTGCAATGAAGTTTGAATATGTATTGAATCAATTTTTAGAATTAAGTGACTTTTAAAGTTCATGCAACTGCAGAAGATCAACAGGTTTGATTCAACAGTGGCGAGCCATCTCGCAAAAGTGTCATTGAATTTTTAGTGATTGACTTCAGGATTAATATCCGACTCATCAAATAGCTATGCAGATACATGAACTGATGATAGATTTAACGACAATAAACAAATTGCCAAATTAAATTTCAAATCATTGTAAATTTGTATTTTGAACTCAAGCCCTCATAAAATTTGATGATAACGAATTACATATTTACGAAAATGTGACTATTCAATAGTGCGGTTTTTTATCTACAATTACATTGTTATTCAGTATTCAATTTGAATTTGTCATTCAGCGAGGCAATTAAGCACGATCAAACAAACGTATAAATATAACAGTTCGTATCTTGAAACGTCAAGAGAGAGAAACAGAGAGAGAGAGAGAGAGAGAGAGAGAGAGAGAGAGAGAGAGAGAGAAGAAATATTTAAGTCTAATCCGAGGACAACGAGTTCGATTCCAATAAAACGAATTTTCCTTGCGACTTGGCAATCGAGCCTCCGAAAAAAAAGAGAGAGAAAGCCCCTTGTGGGGTGGCGCGTACATCGGGAGATCGTCGAATCTGCAAACGGATCGCACCGGCGGGATAATGAAATAAGGATCAAAGGGATCGGCGTGAAGCTGCGCTTCGTAAGACAACGAGGACAGGGAGGAAAACAACAAATCTAATTCCCGAAGACTTGTGTCTCTGTGGCATACCAGGGCTTTTATTTCCCTTCGTCTCTTTCTCTAAACGATTCTTATTCAGTGCCTAGGATGCCAATACGAACGAACTGATGAATGGAATTGTGAGAACCGCTTTCGATTCGTGAGTTGAGTGATTGAATTAATAAGAATGATGCAGTTGAATATTGACAGTGTGTGAGAAAGAGTCAAATTTTAATAACAGTGAAACCAATCTGAACAATGCTCTCATCAGTTTCATAAATAAGCTTTTCACCTCCAGTCGCTCATAACAAATTTTTAATCTTGTGTCGTTAGCTTGAAAAATAATCTTGAACAAGCGAGGAAAGAAAAGTCAACCTTCGCGGAGGTCGAATCGGATATGTGCACTGGTCGAGGGGCGTCAGAGCGCCGATGACGCGCCGATGACGAATCCTTCACGAGATGCACGAGGCGGAGGCGTAGCGGTGGAAAATTATCCGAATCCTTTGCGCCTCCAGCAGCAGCAACAACCGCAGCAGCACCACCAACAACAACCGCGAATCGGACATCATCAACAGAGATCATTGCGCCGGCCAAGAACATCGTCGTCGCGACGGCACGGAAATAGCAACTCTAGCAGAATGCACTTGTCAGGCGAAGCTCAGACACAGCAACAAGCCAGCGCGCCGGCCAATCAGTTGCCCGACTATGCCATCACAGCCGAATTGTTGGTCGAGAGGACTCTTGATGGCTTGATGGCTGAGCACCCTGGCGAGCTAATTCGTACTGGTGGGTAATCCAACATTTTGTTTCTATCTTTACTCAGAATAAAAAGGGACCACTTTTCCGAAACTTATTCTTTTCTACATCATTGTTTCACGTTTGCAATTATTAAAAAGACAAAGCAATGTTAAAATACATCAAAAATGCACATGATAAACAACGTTCATTAATAATTTGCTGAAAAAAATTAATGTCGCAAAATTTTCAAGCAATGCCCAATTGCGCACGATTGTGCAACTTATATTAAATTAAAAATTATTAATTGAAGTTTCAATTATTATGTCATTTGCTTTGACAAAAAAATTAGTGAACTTTTCAAAGGTTTTGGTATTTTTTTGAATTTTGCTACTACAGGAAAGCTGCGCTTTATTTTAACTGCAGCTTGTTGAAGTATCCTACGTGCAATGCACGCGTCGCTTTTGATGTTAGTTCCGAATAAAATGTAAATTGAGAGAATCGTAAATCAGCACCCTCGTAAACATGGAAAATTGCATTACACACTTTAACACCTGAAATTGGTAGGTATTTTTTTCTGAAATGAGAGCGCGTTTGTTGGACCTCTCTCTCTCTCTCTCTCTCTCTCTCTCTCTCTCTCTCTTCTTTTTTTTTATGCGCGTTCGTGCGGAATAAGCTGCAAAATGTTTGATGCGCGTCCGCGCATGCAATTTTTGTCGAAATTAGTTGCCAATAAATTGCGTCAAAAGCGGGCCCGCAAATACGAGGGAATATCAACAGAGCGACGAAAACCGAGGCTATGTGTGATGCACAATATACAATCACAGCCAGAAGGGGAGAGGATGGGGATATGAAGCGTATGCGCTTTGAAAACGTGACTTACGCATTTGACCGAACGTCGAAGCTATAATATTTAATCGTCCGCACACAAAATACGAAAAATCAATACTCGCGCCACTATTGCACATTAGCGGTTTGATCGTTTTGAGGCCATCACTCGCGCTGGCGGCCTTCTGTCTCTCAGCTGCCATATATATACAAACGCACATTAGAGAGCTAGAGGGGGGAGGGGGGGGGGGGGCGAGAGAAGAGCATATTCCACACGTACCGTACGTCGTCGCTATCCCGATAAAATTCAATTGTTGCCGCGCTATTTTCCGGGCCTTTAGATGACAAACGGTCATTACTTGTAATTACCCTCGAATGTGCGCACGAGAGAGAGAGAAAGAGAGAGAGAGAGAGAGAGTGAGTTTAAATGAGCGAATTTTATTGAGTGGAGATTTGAATAATAAATAAAATAAATTAAAAGTCGATTGTTTGTGGAATGTTTTGAAGCGCTGGCTCACTAGCTCTCACGCTTCTTTGTACAGGCGTTCCATTGGAAGCGTGAAAACCCGAGCTTTTCCAAATTCACCTGTGTGTCTGTGTATAACGAACGAGTATTTTGCCGGGAATGACGCTAATTTAGAAAAGATCGAAAAAAAGAAAAATGACGAACACGTCAGGATAAAAAAAAAACTAATTATTCCGTAATGAAACGCTGCCCGGGCAATCTTAATTAACTTACGAGTATGAAATCGAACGATTTAAACTTTGCTCTGATACAAAGCTTATGATTTTGCACTGGATGTCGTCATTGCAATATTGTCAATAGAGAGAAGTGTAGAAATGACATTACATTCTAATGTGGTGGGAGAAATTAACAAGTATTTTTACAGCAATGATTTTCTTGTCTCTGGTAAATTCTTATTTTATCCAAAAAGCTGTAAAATAATTTGGCAAAACAATTAATATTCTCTTCAATATTATTATACACTTTATATCTGGTTTACTAAATATAGTAAGCTAGTTCATTCGAAATTAATTACACAGATAGTAGACAAAATCCGCAATCAAAATCTTTGCTTTTAATATAGATTCACCTCACGTAGTCTGCACAGTCTTGCCGTCGCATTGGCGCTCGAACAAGACACTGCCAGTGGCGTTCAAGGTGGTAGCTCTTGGCGACGTTGGCGACGGTACTCTAGTTACGGTAAGGGCGGGCAACGACGAGAATTGCTGTGCCGAACTAAGGAATTCGACGGCTCTCATGAAGAACCAGGTGGCCAAGTTTAATGACCTCAGGTTCGTCGGGCGGAGCGGAAGAGGTGAGCCTTGAAAATTTATTATATGCTCTGTACCTTGGTTTTTCAAATAGTCCAGTTGCTGGATGCATGCCACCAGCCGACTTTTTTGGCAAGTGTTTTATGAGCTCGTTTGGGCTCGACGGAAGAAACAGAATGTGGCTTGTGAGAAATTTCGGTTAGCTTTTGGTTAGGGGATAAATTTTCTTTACATTATTTATGAATGGTTGAATTATTTGCTATGATGCTTTAACATTCATAAATTTATGATGTTGCAAAGGTGACCTTGCATGTCTTGCAAAATATGACATTTTATTGAAGTTCATCGGTTAGATAACATTCATATCATAATGATCACAGTAAGTACAAACAAAATTTGCGATAATAGTCTGACATATTTAACATAGCTGGAACGCGCCTGAATGACTATTTTGAATTATTTTCATACAAAAATTTGCGTTTAGAAAACCTTTCCTTGGAGCCTGATGTTATATTTTGTGCGGTTGTTCACAATCGACCATTTTCGTTCCGTCTTCGTACTGTTATTTATTGAGAGAGAAAGAAAACCAAAGCAGAAATCAAAACGACTTTGAGTTTAAATATAGCCAAGATAGATTTTTGTCGCGATGTCGTTTTGCATGATTCAGCCGTGCCGAAGGGTGGAAGACAGAGAGCTCGGCATTAAGGTGGCTCGGTAAACGAGCCCTTATCCGGCCTCATTTTTAATTCACTCCTCAAATAACCGTGGCTCGCTCTCTCGCTCTCTCTCTCTCTCTCTCTCTCTCTCTCTCTCTCTCTCTCTCTCTCTCTCTCTCTCTTTCCCGATCTGCCTGTTCGTTCCTTCCTGCCTTCTTTTCCTTTGCTCGCGGCAGACAGGCACATTTTTAATTCGCCGCTCCTCGACGTCAATAATTCACGACGGTCCTGCGCCACGCCGAGATTTCAAAGTGCCAGCGCCAGCGGAGGAAAAGAAGTCGCGCAGTGACTCTTCAATAATTCGTCCTAATAACCGGAGCGCGCACTTCTCGCTGATTTTTAAGGGCCTCCCTGCGCCTCGCTACAGTTGATGGGGGAGGGGGCACAGCGAAGAGGAGAGTAAAGTTTTTTAAACTTCCAGCTTTCTGTTCGCTCCGTAAGACACTTGTGGGAATGCTCGATTAGCTTGATTACGAGTTGGCATTGAAATAATTTTAAAATTCCTATATTGATGAACGATTAAATTGTCAGTTTGAATGAGTGCACGATTTAGCTCCGTAGTTTGACGAGTTATGGAATTTCTCATAAAAATGTATTTAAACATATTATTGTTTTAAGTTGAAGTTTAAAATAATTAAGTAAATTCCATAAAGATGAACATACTTGGCTGATAATTCAACCAAATGTAATGAGTAATAATTTTCTACCCGAAAGTATTTTCCAATATCGTGGCACGTCCTTTATTTTTTTTTCCTCGATCTTTCTGCATCTGAACAGTTGGAAATGATCATCCCCTTATCACAAAGACGGTTAGTCCCTCTCTCCTGCGTATAAACGCCAAGGATCGGAAAGTTTGGTAGAGGAGACACGAGAAAAAAAGTCACGGACGCGTCGTCGCTTAACGAGCGGCTGGTCGACTTGTTTATGGCAAATTGGAAAAGGAAATTACGAGGTTTGCGATCGCGTCGCTCTCTTACAGCATTTTCTCGCTTTCCTTCTTCTTCTCTCTTTCTGTCTCGACCCTCCCCACGGAGCTCCCCGAGATTCGCATCTCGAGCGCAAGGGCGAGGCTCTTCTTTTGGACGAGTAGAGTGAGCAGTCGAGCGGACGCGAAAAACGTCCGCGCGCCAATCTCCGATGAAAGTTACTTGATTTTTTATGATTGCCTATATAGACTGCCTGCGACACTTTTTCTTCTTGATTACGTTAGCTTCGGGGGCTTCGGAATCACTCGTTTCGGGTTCCAGTAGACCGTTCGAACTGGAAAACTCTGTAACGAAAATACATTTGGTTGAAGACTAGTGTGCAACCACAAAAATTAACTGAAGGAAAACCATGAAATTTAAATGAAAGACAGCGTGTTGTCGCAGCAAAATGCTATAAAATCAATCGAATAGGTTGGAACAAGAGAATCCACTTCAGCCGCAGAAAAAAGCGAGGCGCCCTAAGTAAAATGGAAACAGTTTGTTCGAAAACAAAAAGCCCCGAGAGCTTTGGAAGTGAACGGAAAAAAAAATTGTCGGTGGGCCGGATACGCGGACAATTTTCACCGATAAATCAGGGCAGAGACACAGCCGAAATACGAGTGAAAGAAACAGCCGCGCAAAGTTTCACTGTATACCTGTATGAGAAATAAATATATATACATTGACAGAGTATAGCTGGAGCTGTGAGTGTGCGAGAGAGAGAGAGAGAGAGAGAGTGGTTGGGCGTATAAGCGGCTTTGGTTTCCATGGCAGTAAGCCCTCATTACTGCATTACGGGGCTGCCTTCTGACGAGGATAACGCACTGCCGATCGACGATCCTCTATATGCTGCTGCAGTGGCAGCCGTTGTCCAAGCTCATTACCAGGAAGATAGGATATGATCTTTATGCCTTTTCCAGCTTTACTCTAGTGCAAGTCTGGATTGCTACTCGAGATGCGCTTAATGTCTTGGCATCACTTGGGAAGACTTTCGAGCAAGTTGCATCTAGGATATTCTCTTCAAGTGTATATCTAATTGGAAGTTTTTAAGTGCCAGATATCTTGCTACAAGTATAATTCTATGTGCTTATTTAAAAATGTAGTTTTCTAATTATTAATAACAAGTATTATAAATTAACAGTTGTTTTCATATTGACAATCAGTACCAAGTAAAAGAAATTATATTTCCAAAAAATAAACGTATTATCACAAAAATGTTAATATCAAACAAATCACAACAGTGTGATACCTACTACTTTATCTAAATTAAGAATTCATCACTTATCACTTTTTGATCGAAAATACTTATGCTCTTATATTTAAGCATGAACGAACAGGTGGAAAGTAAAATTTAAATAAGTTTAAATTATTTTTTAACTAAAATAAAAATTTGAATAATATATGTCTCGTATCACGATTTACTATCTACATTTCTGTAACTTTCCTTACAGACAGATTTAGTGCAATGTGTATAAGTGGATAAGTCTCGTGATCGACAAATTTGTTGCCGACAGAAGTAACTCATCCGGTTTTTCTGAGAACTTATAAAATTCTTTGTACATTCTTCTTTGTACCGGTAAAAAATTTTTTGTACCGGTGTTACAAAGATTCCAATTATTTTATATCATTCGATCATGTTCTGCACGTTATTCGTTCACCACGCGCACATTGTACAGCAGTGTAATATTACATGTTACTGTTAGATCGCGTAACATTTAAGAAGTAATATTGTTGAAAAAATGTTTGCATTTACGGCATCAAAAGTTGACATTCGACATTCCGAAAGCTCAGGAAAATAAATAAATCAAAAAGAAAATCGAATTCGTTGAACGCTCGAAAACGTGCAAGATAAGATAGAAAAAGATGATGACCCAAATGCGGTGCTAGAATTTCTTACGAATTCTCGGGAGTATTTAGCAAGGCCTAAAGGGGGTGGGAGGACGAGTAGAGGAGTGAGGGAGAAAGAGAGGCGAGTCGGAGAGAAGGATAGAGAAGGGCAAACGGGCGCACTTCGCAGTGCGAAGGGGTGAATATTATCGTTTTGGCGCAGGATCGTATATCAACGCGGCACCCCTTTCGCCCGCCGGGGATTAGCGTCAACTTCTCGGACGCGGATGCACGGCTACACGCGCCAGAGTTAACTGGACAGAGAGAGAGAGAGAGAGAGAGAGAGAGAGAGAGAGAGAAAAGCGGAATAAACAAACGGCGCGAGAGAAAGATAGCCGAGTGGCCAAAGAGGATCAAGCCGAATGTAGAGCGGAAGAGTGAAAAGAAAGCGCGCCGCCGACTGTTCTTTGGATTGCAGCGCTGTGCCTATGTTACAGCTCCGACCGCTCGGCACTGGGCTCGTTTGGCTGCGTCCAGCTTTAGCAGTCTAATTGAGCGATTGTTCAGCCTTCATTTTCATAGATGTCGATTCAAATATGTAGCACACTTTGCCTCGCTTTGCCGAACGTTTTACATTTTGTATCGAGTTAAAAGCCATTCAATTTACATTATCGTGAAAGTCCTGATAACTGCCTTATTGTAACGTCGTGCGTCAACGGTTTTATGTTGAATGCTTGATAGAAAGCTTGTGGTAATTATTTATAATTTGAACCGAATGAGGTAAAACCGAACTGTGCTTGATTTGCAAAAAATCAGTGAAAAAATCGTTTTTAGTCAGACACGACATTTTTTTAAACTTATTTAATTTCGCGACTAGCCTACCATTTTTGACTATAATCATCGAAAGTTAGTGCACAATCATTTGATTTAACGAAAAATAAATAAAGTAAAAATATAAAAGCAACCAGCATTGCCGCGGATGAAACAAAAGTAATATAAAGTGGATATAAGAGTCAGCGCGAAAGACATAACGAAGATCTGACGGGGGATAAAGAGAACGCGCGAGACGGATGAAAAAAGAAGATAGAACAGAGGCAAAGGGGTCAAAACCGTTAGGCGTAAAAACGACGAAGCGCGGGTCTCGTCGTCGCATAAATAGCGGAGTTACGTCGTGTTTTACGAGCGAGCCGTTGGAAGTCCGCGGCGATATCGGCGCCGATCCCCTGATCAATGTCCTTTTAGTCTGCTATAACTCTACTCCTCTCACCTTCATACTCTCACGTCACCTGGACGCGCCTGGAAATTTACATTGGCCTTGATGTGAACTAGGGTGAGATTTTTTGATGAATCGCCAAGGGTTAGGTTTATGGGGTTTACTGTTTTTAAATGTGCTGAGTGTAGTTATTATGAAAAAAATAAATAAATATATGAAAATCATAAATAGTTCTACCCATAATCCCTTCAATAACCCGGTCGTATTAAATTTTTAAATTGGCCTATAGATTGCTGAAAACAATTAAATCCATAAAAACAATTAAATTAATAAATATTAGTAGTAGAGGAAGTAACGGAGTAACATCATCTTTTGATTTACGAAAAGCGGTCTCTCGATTGAATTTCCGTTTTATTTGTTCTAACTTGTGAAGCGTCGAGCAGCCAGGGGGTTTCTTACGTTGTGTGTGCGTCAGAAGACGAATAGCACAAGGGAGTTTCACGCGAGTTCACGCAGAAATGATTTAATAAGTCGTAAAGGTCCGTCAAAGCTGAGAAGGGTCGACGCTTCTGCGCACGTCAAGGCTATTTTTTGTTTTCCGACCGAGGAAACTATAGGGCAAATTGTTTTCTTGAAAAAAAGATTAAAAGGTATTCTTGGTTGAGTATTTAACGAAGTACGATAATGATTTGAAAATCTCAAGAAGTTAATGGATCGATGATTTATTGATATTTACACATCATACAATTTCATTCCATCGAAATAATACTAAGCTTTTTCACATTTTTTCGTATTTACATTCTCGGAAAAAATATAAAAAGAAATCTATGCTTACGACTACTCTCCGGACAACATATTTCACACACGAAAACACACTTCGCGCAAGTCCGCCGACCATAAAGCAGCCGGGGAAAAAGTCACTTATTGTCGACAGTAAAAGCAAAAAAAAATAAACAAGAAAATAAACAATAAAACAAAATAGGCGGGTATTCAATTAATACGCAATAATGAGCCTGGAAGGGAAGCTTCGCGTGGTCATAAATCCCCTTGCCATCCTTTTCTGCCAATTAAAAATTAAAAAAAAATCTTTTCGAGAGCGCAGTGTCTCGCGCCTTCGTATGCTAATCCTTGTTACCGCGCACGCTCGACTGGGCTCTCGTATATCTCGCTCTCGATGAATATATTTTTTTCCCCTTTTTTGTGATGTACTTTTTATTCTGCGTGTTGTTCACTGCCGCTGCTACTACTTTGATTGTAAGTTCATGGCATATCGGCGTTGCTCAGGAATTTCACGGTGCACGCCTGATTTGCTTGTTTTCGGCTCGCTAGCTCGAGGATTACGATGGTGTGCTGGTGATTACATTTACATTTTAATGGCTCGTTATTGCAATTTTTCTTCGTTATTTTGAAATATCATTTTTTTTTGTTATTTACGTATTCAGATAATTTATGAAAATTTCATTTAAAAAATTGAGAATTTATTTTCTATGTGTACTTTGTTTTTGTTGCAATTATTATTATCAGTATAGTTTCCATTTAAACGGCGTTTGATTAAAAAAAAACACAATTAGTGAAAGGATTAAAACGTTTTTATTTATTAATCATCAACTAAATTCTATTCCCCAATCAAAAAAGTATATTACATCGCTTCAAAGACAATAACTTATATTACACAAATGGTTGTTTTATTATTCATTGTCTTGTACATTTTCCAGACCTTTTCAATATTGTTCATTGCACACATAATGCGTGTCTAAAAATACATAAATGCCATCTATCGGGTGTGCAATTGAATAATCATTATTTTAAACTTTTATTCAACTTTGCAATGACGACAAGAGCAAAGAATAAAACGAAGCTTTCATCAAGGTGAACATTCGTAGTTTGCACCTAAAGTATTTTGACGCGCTAATAAAACAGTTTCAACGCAGTGATCCTATTCACACCTCCTTTTTTCACGATCGGAGATACAGTCCAACAGGCCAAATCTTACAAAAAAAACTACAAGCTCTCCAGATATAACTATCCAAGGCGTTGCTCACACTCACTTCCACATTGCGCCTGCCATAACAGGCGAGTTTTTAACGCAATTTGATCCCTTGGTAAACTTATCGAGGGCAAAACGCTCCTGGGTCGGCATCACCTGGCATGTGTGCGTATATACTCTCACGGCCTATAATCCATCCGTCAGTTGCAATGTGTTCGAATGCAAAATATTTGCCTAATATGGGTAAAAAAAGTGTCAAAAGCCTCGACTTGGTTCTCTCTCTCCCACTGCCTCTCCTCCGAAGCCACGTGTTTTACCACAACGCTCGATATTCAGTTGATTGCCGGCTACACAGCTACTCGTTCGTGCATTCAATTTTTTTTTTTTGCTTTTTATTGACGATGTTTTTTTTAACGTGAGATCGATTGGTGAATTTGTTTTACCTAGACAGTTATGGCGGGGATCTGAGCATTTTAGCGGTAGAATAATAATTTTTTTTAGACGAACTTTATTTGGAAATTTTCATCCTAAAAAAATAAACGTTTTAAGTAAATATACAAAAAACCATATTGCTTACAATATTTAACTTCTCTATCAGCAGCAAGTACAACCAAATTATAAAGGATAACAATTATGTTTTGATCATTGGATATGTTAAAACGCTCAAACGCCATCTATCAGCCATACAACTGATCGATAATTACTTGTTTATAATTAAAAATAGCAATGACGGATGTACATCCGTTCAATTCTAAGATTGCAAAAAAATTATTTGTTATGTACATGTTCAAAGATTAGGTCTCACTTACAATTTGGTATCGATCATTAAAATAAAAATACAATCACGAGCCACAAAATATCACACTCGTAACATCGTAAACGCGCGTGAAATTGACATCGCACACTAAAAGATACCTGAGCCAAGTAATAATACATGCCGAAATAACGGTGAAGCTATGTTCGCATCCCACTACGACTGATCGCAGGCAGGAGCAAGAAACATTATCAAAGAACGCGCTCGCACGACTACACAATAGGCAGAAAGCAAGAGGGTTCAGGGGTGGGTTGGGGAGGGTGGATGGCTCGTTCCTTCCGCTGAGTTACACATAATGTCTCATAAACACCCCCGGCGTTGTCGCCGACGACACGTCGGCGGCAATAAACTGGTAGGCTCGTTAGGGGCCAAACTATCTCGCGGCGGGGAGTGTTACGCACGCTGGCAAAGGGATGCCTATGCAAATCGCCACGGATAATGTCGCGCTTTCCTTCGGTAGCTTGCTTCTTTTTTTTAATCTTGCTTGCTGCCTTATTTCGCTCGGCTTGTATTTTCTTTATCGAATCTTCGTGATACAACGATACAACCGCTTATAGCTGTGGACAATCAAGTACGTGATTTTGAAAGAACGAAAGTTCTTTATAGTCAAAGTTTTAGATACGAGGAATTCCTGTCTTTCAACGGGTGATAAATAATCGATAGAAAATCACCTTGCAACATATACATTAAACGTCTTTACATACTCGAGTACGTTTACCAATTTAGAGCCTAAGAACCATATCATTAACCACGCATACAGACAGTGGGTAGAGTGAGTATCAACAAACCAGAGCGAGTGGTTTTCACGCCGGGCAAACTTTCGATGCCGCAGAATATATTCCGCGAAAGGGATAGTCCCCGTTAAACGTCCGCGGTTCACCGTAAAAACCAAAGGCCATCGCCCCGGTGCACCGCGAAATAAAACGGGGAGTTGCTACGTGTCAGCGAAATTTACGCGAATGTGTTGTATTTTTACATCAAATTTTGTAACAGCAGTAGCCTAATTAAATTACTTACTAATGAGTGATGATTTTGAATTACTGAAACTAAATGCCGTTTGCATTTTCATTGGAAATCAAACTCTAATTATAACATTATTATTGGTTGCTCTATATAAGGTGGCATCAGATTTCGTCGTTCACATTAAATTTCAATTTACAATATAATTAACATAACTATTTCTACAATTACAATTTACGAATTTGGTTTTAAAATTTAAACTATTTGTGAAAGTACTGCAATTAAATGCTTTCAAAATAATATGTCGCTACAAATGAATTTATTAGTACCAGTAAAAACAATTTTGAATACGTCTAGGTAAATAGTTTTTGAACTGTTATACACTCAGAATTTAATTGAAAATAAATTTTTATCTGTAATATACATTTCGCAATGAGTCGAAACACGAATTTGAAGGTATCAAAGTTTGCAAAAATAAGAAACCATGTTGGTTATGAAATACTTATTCAACATAACAATGTTTTGCTTTGAAATGGTAAATCTACGTATGATTTTCACTGACCAATTCATTAAGCGCTCAATAGTATGTACCCAGAAAATCACCTTTTCAAATATCCAATTGGAAGCCGATGACTAAAAATATCCTAATTCTCATCCAAATCTCCACGCACAATATCCTCGAAAATGAGGTTTCGAAAGGGGCGATTTAGAAAGGGAAAACAAGAATCACGAGAATGTTGGCCGACGCTGCTCGGAAAGAAATTCGAGGAGTCGTCGGCTTATAAATAATGCTGAGCTCGCGGTCGACAGGATTGGATCTGAATAATGGAAACCGGCAGACCGAGAAACCAAAGCGTACACGCACGTGCCGATGCTTTTTAATTTGTTTCGCGCCCAAAGTGAGGCATCGCTCTCCAGGGAACAGATTGCTTAACGCCAGATCCTTTATAACTACGCGGATCTAATCTGCAGAGAAGCTACAGTGATCGCCTCGGCTCTTTCAATAATTTTGTCGTTCGGATTGATAGCTGCAACATTTTGACTTTTCATTATTAGAAAACAGATTAAAACGTACGTTTTTGAATTTTCAGGCAAGAGTTTTTCGCTGACGATAATGCTACAAACATCACCTCCTCAAGTGGCGACTCTGTCTAAAGCAATCAAAGTGACGGTTGATGGACCTCGAGAACCACGTTCAAAAACACGTGAGTAACAATGTTTTACGCTGTCAAATGATTTTGCGCCGGGAACTTTGCAAAGCAACAGAACGTGAAAAAATGATTGAACCTGTTATATATAAGGAGTAATGTGTCAACTTATAGGTCATCAAGCTTTTCACCCATTCCACTTTGGGCCTCGGCCGTTTCCCTTCGGACACCCGCAGGATCCGCTGGGATTCAAGCTAACCGGTAAGTGATAGTGATTAGATCGCACATGTGTCCTTCTATAGATACAATTGAACCTCCCCTAGTCGACGTTTTTGCCCACTATTACGAAGAAGCTTCCAATTTCGGCGTTGTCCTTTGTTACGGTACAAACCCTGACTGGCGTTTTTGAACTTGTACAAAAATTTTTTCAACTCATTGAACTTTACCGGCAAAGTAGGAAAAGGTATAAAGTATGCGTTGACCAGAAAGTCCAGAACCTAATAGGTCAATAGCCAATTTACGAGGTGAAATTCGATCCACAAAGGGGTTACGAGAGCGCGCAACTCGAGTGCGTTACTCGCGATACTTTCATGTAGCTATACGTGCAGTTGTTTGCCATCGATCCTTGCGCAGCCTCACACCCTCGACGCCGACGTCGTCGCGCACTTAAGGTGGCCTAGGCGTAGCAGCTTGTAACGCGCGAGGGGTGTCAAAATTGAGCGACGACGTGCGCGCGCTCACGGCACCCGTTCAAAATTGAGTTTTCCTCCGGGCGTCTAAGTGGAGACGAGGCTCTGATTAATCTCGAGCGCGCGAACTCTGCCTTTTCCTTGGCAGCGGTGGCGCGGGCTAGGGTCGAATGCGCGACGCGCAAAAGTCAAAGCCGCCAGAGACAAAGTTCACGAGAGAGGAGGCGCGTCAACTTTTTGGCCGCCCTTCACCCCGAGATATTTTCGGCGCGCCGGCATCAACTTTTAGATAATAATATTGGCATATTATGCCTTTCGATTTCATGTGCGTTGAACGTTTTATTAGCTGTTGAAATGTGAAACCATTGGAATCGAAGCTTTTGCAGGACATTTAATTTGATCACTCAGCAGCACCATGTAACAAGTTCACCCGTGTAGCCGGCAAACCTCGTCGTCATCGTGCAATCTCTTGCGCGAGCGATCGAGACGAATTCGAAGCAAGCAACGCTGATATAGTGCAATAGAGTCCGATTGAAACTCGTACAAGGCACCAAATTTGATGGAACTAGCCCGAGGCTTCGGTGAGCGGCACCGGAGCGAAGCATATATACACATAGCGACGCTATACACAATGTTCGTATATAGGTATATATACACTGGGCCGCGGAGGATGAACGAGAGGGAGAGAGAGAGAGAGAGAACGGAGGATGGCGCGGTACTGATACTGGTGCACCGACAGTGTATTGTTTCGGCATGATAAGCGGCTTAACGGAGCTTCGTTCGAGCTATTCTATTCTGTCTGCCAGCTGCTTTCCACCCCCGGCAACGTTGGCCCCTTTTGACCTCTCGCGCGCGCTCTCCGATTCATTTCTTCTTCGGCAAGCGCTATGCAAACTGTTTTGTGTCCTCGATTTCTTTCAAATCCCGGTTGCTTTTAATCAAGCTACTTTTACTTCTTCTTGGAGACCCTCTAAATCCTAGATACCGCTGTGCACGGCTTCCTGCGCTAAAATTTGCTTTTCAATTCTTCTCAGCTATTACTTTTTTTACCATAAACTTGCAACAAAAAGAGTTTTACGGTAAATAACGAAGTTTTCTTTAAAAATTCAAGGACACTCACGAGTGAATATTAATCGTAGGATGATGGAATGAATTTGAACGGAATTCCAAATTTTATTTCGAGCAGCAAATATTTGATCCCAAACTTTTTTTCTTTAACGTCTTACGCTGACGTTAAAAAACAAGTATACGTCGAAAGCTTGCGCGGTTTGGCCACTCGTGTGTTGGTCAGCAGCGACACTAGCGCATATCGACAAGTTGCCCACGGGGCAGCACTTTCCACATCCTTTCTCATATTCAACCCTTTCGCCATGGTAGTTCGCGGCCCGACGCATAGGTTGCGCCCTGGCACGGTTTGCCGCGTCGGTCACTTTTATTCGCACACTTACTTTGCGTCATCGTGCGACAGTCAGATAATATGTTAGGAAATTAAGGAGAGAGAGATTTACTCTTACCACTGGTAAACTAGGACAATGAGTTTTAAAACTTTGTGTTTGACCTTGGCGTACTTTTATACTTGTGTTTAATACGCTTTTTATACATAATATCATTATCACTTTTGTGGCTTGGAACACAAAACATAAAATTTTATCAAAACTTTGCAGTTGACAAACCTGTAGATATCGAAAAATCGAAACAACGTTGATCTGTAGCTTTTCATCGATAGCTTAAAAAATAAAGAAGTGAGTGATTATCATAAGATTCAAAAGAAAAGAGTTTTCTTGATTCGCCCACGCTACTTGAATAATTTTTTCAATACAGCTGTATTTTTGACTCTCAGAAGTCAACAAGATGATTCATAACTTATTGTCACACCGGCTTTCGTGGACTTAATCAGTCATGCATCTTATGAGTACGCAATACGAGTCATAATGAATGTATACAATGTAAAATACCGTTTTTTATTTCAAGATGTGTGAATAAGAAGAATAGATATTGCAATCAATTATTGAAATTATTATAGTAAAAATTTGTACATGAAATGAGTTTATTGGTATTTCAACATATTCTTTGACACACGACTGAGCAATTATTTAAAAATAAAATTTAGACGTTGTAATGCAGACGAAGATAAAACGAAGTAAAGTGAATGTGCCGAGGTGACGGAAGTCGGGTTAAACGAGAAGTGCGCAGATGAATAGAGAGAAACGGAGACGCACAAGGCGGCCCGAAGATACTGTCACTCTACAGCGGTAGCCAGGGGTTGTTAAGGTGCCCATTGAGGTGTAACTAGGGGGATGTTATTAAATTTCGCTCGTCCCAGCTCGGCGTGTATAGAGACTCGGAGTCGAATTTCACGGCTCTCACCCCGTCACCAAAGTCGCAGTCCAAGGAGAGAGGCAGGCTCCTTTGCCACCGTCGCGGTTCGTGTTTTCTTTCTATTCTCGTGTGCCCCTAAAAGAGGCGCAACCCGATGAGACGCATCTGTGTTATTGACCACTTGGCTGGCCACTGTCCGATGGAATTTTTTGTCCTCTCCAATTCCTTTGAGACGTCTGCTGAGTTCAGGTACGCCGCTCGATACTGGACATGAGACAACCTCAAATGCAAAAAATCTATTCATGCCTCGATAAACTACTGCTGGTAATTTTAAACATCGCAACAAAGAGATAAAAGATTCAAACAACTGATTTTGGAGATCTTTGTTTATGTTAAATTTCTTGTCGATCATATACTCACAGATCTAATGTAGCATTTGCTTAGGAAATTCACTAAAATCTTATTTTTCGGTTATTACTGTTTTAATGAAGCCGCAGCGTTTGTCAATTTCATAAATATTTACAACGTATTTACACACGCTTGATAAGAAACTATCGAGCTGTTCCGCATTAATACTCGATAACTCATTGAAAACTTTTGTCAGATTTGAATCTCTTTTTTGTTCCCCCATTTCCAACCAACCTATTTCATTAGAGGGGATGAAAAATAGCGAGACCAACGAGATTCGAGTTAACAAGAGCGGCGGTGGCGTCGCACAGCTTCAGCTCTTTTCACTGCCTACTTCTTGCCGCGCTTCGCTTCGTGCTCCTCCTTCGTTCCTTCCCGTGTCAATTAACCGCCTTTGGAGCCCCGGAAAAATCGCGACCCCTGTTTCAATAAGGTAGTCTTTACCTCATTTAGAAAAGATTGTTAAAGATCGAAATTTCCTTGTATTTGTTCTTCTGTCGTTTGAAGTATCCATTCCGCTTGTATGGTTACGAAATTTTCACTTTTACAACCTAACAATAATCATTTTGCACATACCTTGGAAACTTTTAACTGTGAACGTATATTGTGTAAGTCCGAAAAATAATAAATTGTAACAATCAGAAAGCAAATTGTAATTTTTCAAATATATTAGTTTTTATATTCTCTATGGAATTGATGTGAGTACGACGTCAAAGTTTATCTGTGCCAATATAAAAAATATTTATCTCTTAAGAATATCCTTCAGCCGCTACGGAAGTTCCATTCCAACAATACCTAATATCTCATCCCACGACATTTGCGTTCATTTAAGAAAGTAATATTCTTGTCCAAATTCCAGCCTTGAAAGTGTAAGAAAAATCGTATTTTTCACTTGTACGGTGAGTCGAGGCGGTCAGGCAGAGCGAGCCGAAACGCAGGAGTTTCGAGAGCGCTAAGGTCGAATCAGAGCGGAGACGGATCCTTTAAATTCGCGTCACATTTCAGGAGTGGTCTCTCGGCCGTGGCTATATACGCGTGGATTCTCCGTCTTTTAATCAGGTCCGCTTCTGCAGCCCGCCGTGTTCGTTTGGGCTGACTGGCTTTCTCCGGCGAGCGAACGGGCGACGGTAACTAATGACGCCTCGTCGCCCCGAAAACGCAACGACCTTCGACTTCTCTCTCTACTCTCCTCCCTTCCTATCTTCTTCTATTCAGCATCCGTCTCCGGCGACTCTCACTACGCTGTTATCTATTCGAAAGCATCAGTTCACTGCTACAAATAGAATTCAAGTTTAAACTACAACTTTTACGGCTATTGTGTCCAACAAACTTTATTCCTTTAATATCGTCACAGATAAAAGAGTTGATTGGAAGCACTTGATAATAATGCTTCCTTGAATTTCATGGAGGGATCAATTTTGTATAAAGTAGGCGCATAATTTCGAATCAGTGGCCAATTCTAAGTTTGGTCAGACAATTTTTCAGTTCAAACATGAAGCATCATTTTAAAAACATTAAATCGGTTTTTATAATGTTTTATTTATTTTAATAAAGCAAGTAATTGTTAGTAATTGTTTAAAATTCAGTTAATCAAGCGAGCAAACTCACTGCATTTTCGAGGAATAAAATATGCCATAGCCAATTGGAATCTTCGAAAAAGTTGGCACAGAGGTAAACGCGCTTGCAAAATTTGTCGCGAGACGTCGAGCATGTAGTGCGCGTATCTTCACAATGTCATACGTAGCAGCAGAAAAGACGAGGCACCTCTTTTTCCCCTTAATAATCGACCGTCGCGTGTATATACATATATACGTTCGGTCAAATAGCTCGTCGCTTCGATCCGTCGGCAAGGTGACGACGACGATCCACGGAGCGATAATGAGAAAGCCGGGGCTGCGAAACTCGACCGAGTTAGCGAGCGAGCGAGCAGCATCTGCTGCCGGCTGCGCCGCCTGCGTCTACACTCTTTGAGAAGCGACGTGTAAAGAGGAAAGAAGCGCTCTCGGCGAACGCGCTACTGCCGGCGCCTCGGCATTAAACGCGACGAGAGAGCGAATGGGATAGGCTGCAAAAGGGAGCTTGCGCGAGCGACTCTCGAGCGCTTAGGCGTTAATGTTAGCAAATTAAGGATGTAATTACGACTTGGCTATACATGAAATCTAGTTCAACACTTTACCCCATCCTGACTGGGGATTATTTTTCTTTACAACTATGCATTTTCATGATCTCGTAGAGTGCTTTCCTTGTCATTTTTATTTCTAATCTATTTCTATATTACTGCACTATCAAATGATAGCTTTGTATAACGTTAAAGAAATCTTGCCAGCTTGAATACTTGTAAATTAAACAAAAGGAGTTTTAACGTTTCTAAAAAAACACATTTTTACAATTACTTCTTTGTAAAAATTGTGAGATCATCACTGATGGAATAACATTAACAAATTTAATGTTAAAGGCTTCATGGCTCAGTCACTAACATGCGTCTGCTCGATTTTCATCCCCGGTATTTTTCAACCACTCTAGCGTGGGATGGGTGCCACGTTAATATTCAATATTCACGTTAAATTCACTTTCTTGTCCAAGCGTCATTCTCTACACAAAAGAGTAATAATACCCATTGATTTCGAATAAATAAACAAATATCGTAATTAGGTTAGGCTAAGATTTAGAGTTAGCAGTGTTGTACTCGATGGCTATGGGCAAGAAAGGAGTAATAATAAATCTTTTTGATGTTGATATTTCAGTAATAAATATAAAATAATGAAACACAGATTAGACACACTGTTAATAAATTATTCGGTTTAGTAATTTTTGATAACCACACGACTGACAGTAGTAAATACTGTTGGTCAAAATAGTTGTTGAATGAATCTACAAATGCAAGATCTTCGAATTTTATATGTACAAAACTTGATTTTACTGCATCCTCTTTATTGTCGTCATTTAAAACTTTTTATATACTACATTTTTGAAATCAACCCTCTCTTGTAAATTGATTCAAAATCAAAAACATGGACGTTACTCTAGTCAAATTCCTGATTGAATTCATGCATATGTACATTGATCAATTTATCGACGGCAATAAGGTTTATTATTATTTCTTTGTTGCCGATCGAGTGCTACAATTTTGAAGCGAGCAAACAACAGACAAGAAGAATGAATAAAGTAGATATTTAGTTGTATTTTTTTAAACTCGTATCTAGTTAGAAAATATTCAACTGCTTAAAATAATTAAGAAAAGAAATAATCAGAACAAGGGGTAAACACCAAGGAGTATTGAAATAAATTCAAGTATCTGTGTATATAGAGCAGCAGATCAAGCTGTGAAAGGTAGAAAGAAACTGAGGTAGGGTAAGGGTTAAGTCCTGGAAAGCAAGCAGAGGAGAGCTTTTTAATGCCTACTTTGCATGGATCTGAATAGATAAAAGCCGCTCTGCTCGTCCGCGCACAGTGAGGGAGAGATGGGCGAATTAATTTATTATGTATCTCACGCTAACCGGACGAAGAGCGCGGCCTCCACTCTTTACTTAGACCCCCCGCCCACGCGTTTTCTAGGATTTACTCTTTAATTCCTCTTTAATTTCAAGTCCTTCGAATTTTCTTGAAAAACGATGTAAACACTGCAGAATCTCTCGGTTCTCGTTCGGTTGCGACGGTTTTTTTCTTCATTCAACTTGCACAGATCTGATTGTCAAATTAACACGAATAGCACAATATATTATTTATGTATTTTAGCGTTGAGTTACACGCATGCCCAAGCCTACAAATCGAGCTAATAATAAGGCACGCGAAATTAACCCTCAGACTTGCTCTTTTCTTACGTACGACACATGGGGCGTCTGACACCTCAAAACCAAACTAACTTACACAGCAGCAGGAGCAGCAGCACGCCCCAAGCGGCGTAATTATCGCCGCAGAAGGCTAAGAAGAGGAGAGCGGCTTTCGGTCTCGCGAAATATTCCCGAGCACACGCGCGCGCGCGTGCAGAGAAAGCGCCACAAAGGAGCGATCAACACGTCCTCACGCTCCGCGATAATACATCATCCCTTTAAACTCCTCGCTTGCGAGAGCTAAGAAAGGGCCCAGGCCGTTTAAGCTCGAAGACATTTCTCAAGCTCTCCTTAAAAGGGTGGAAAACCCCTTTTGCCGCACCGTGGCTCTCATTAGTCTTCATTTGTTTTCGGAATTATCGCCCCTGTCCAAAGTGCGCCGGCACGCCGAATAACGCGGGGGACCGTAGCCTCGCCGAAGGGGGTTTATTAAATTGAAAATATGTTACCGCCTCCTTCCACTATATAGCTCGACTTTGGCCCGCGCGCACTACTACTCCACTGCGTGCGTGTATCGGCTGATGGGTTATGTGTATGTGGGCAACGTGACCCTTCCGCTTCACGCACCTATCATTAAAAACTGACCGGTCGATCGATAAATACGCCAACCAACAGTCACCGAAAGTGTCATCAGTGATGTTCTATCGATTCATCTTGCTGCTACTGATTCATGTTTTTCAAGCCCTAACTCTACTCAATGTTTATAATGGCTGTTATGGGCCAAGGCAGGATCGTTTCGTGTTCTAAACTCACACTTCACGCAATGTTCATTGGATTCATTGTATTCGTATTACCTCTTATGACTCTTTGTTTCCATGAAAGTTGATGGTTTCAATTAACTCGTACAAAAATTTGATTAGCTTTAATAGGCCTTACACCTAGCAATCATTAAATGAATAATGGAAAGTACAATATTATTTCAAAGAATTTATATATTCATGACTTTGTGATCTGCAGAATGGACTATTGACAATATGTTATTGTTGCGAAATTAATGTAATTTCGATTTGAGAATATACATTTGACTATTCGACCACGTTATTGATTGTAAAAATATAATTGTAAATAGTTAATAGGCAGCATAAACAAGTAAAAATGAAAAGAACATATTTTTTTATTATATCCATAAAACTACAGTTTTAAATTAGTCTGTGCATTTAGGTTGTGTGACATTTAAACGTATTAGTAGAATATCATATTTTATGACACGTTTTCCGACAAATATAATACTATAATGATTGTGTTTTCTTTGGATGATAATAGTATCTTATTGAAATTGAATTTAGGTAATAAGCCTCTAATCTGACATTGGAAGATTGTTCACTTTTTTAATACGATTATTTTCTTTTTTCTTCATTTTCATAATATGATATTGTCGAAAAGTATGAAATTAAAAAAAAAAAATTGTTATCTTACAATAATGTAAATTTATACGAAGAGACTTTCCCATAAACTGCATTGGCCATTGATCAGTCAAGAAAGATAGAAATGAATCGTAGGGTGACTAAGCAGTAGGCGAAAAGCTCTGCTATTTATTCGCTTATCACGCGCCTCGCTCTTTCCAACGAACGGAAAGCCTTTCTCCGGCGCTGCACTTTAAGCCGAAGCTTTTCAAGTCACGGCTGTCCTCTCGCTCATTCTCTCCCTTATCGGCTTCTTAATCCTCTCTCTTCCTCTCTCTATCTCTCGCTCGCTCGCTCGCTCGCACACGCGAGAGGAAAACTAGCTTCGCCTCTCACTCCTTGAAAGCTAGCTGCTCTGCGCCTGGGGGAGGGGGGAGGGGGATATCAAAAAATTTCCCCGCCCGGGCTTGTTTGCTTTTTTTTTCGGGGCCACCGGCAGCCAGCCCGCGAAAAGGGCTTTGCGGCCAACCAATCCGGCAGGCCGCAATCTCCGCCGCGCCACGCCCACGCGCCACTGACTCCGCGGCCGCTCCCACCCTCTTCCCCGAGCTTTTTCTCCCTACCGCCCCCACTCCACTCGACAGCCAAACTGCAAAAGCTCGCGCGAGCTCCCCTCCTCCCGCCATTTCCCCGCGCACTTCGCTCTTGCATGCTATCTCGTGCTGCTTCTCCGCTTTCCCCTGCTTCGGTGCAACCTAGCTGCCGCCTTTTCCATCTGCAGTTCTCGGCTTCCTTTTGGCTTCCTCTCTTCTTTCTTTTATCTTTTTCTCCTTCCCCTTTGTTTCTTCTTCCTTTTTCTTTTCCTTTATTTTCTTATTTTCTTTTTTTCCCCTTTTTTATTCTCTTTTCTCTTGCGCTTCGGCTCGTCTTACCTCTCTTTACCGCTTTTTCTGTCCGACTTTTCCGCGCTACCTTATCTTCGAAAACGTGGCGAGCTACTTGTTTCTTTATCTTGCACCAGCTCCTACTTTTTTAAACATGCTTTTGCTTCATTTCGTTTTTATGTATTTTCATGGGAGTTTGAGTTTTTATGACGGCTATTGCGGAATATAAATTATGAATTTAATTTAGCCAAATGAAAATACTATACGTCACTTGTCGCATGTTAATTTGAAAAAAATCTAGAGATTTCTCAAGTCGTGTTACATTTGTGTATCAGATAACAAATAATTAATATTTACTACAGTAATATAATTGACACATAAGTACAAGAGTAGATTTGTTTTATTACTCTTTTAGCAGTCGACCGTTAATATGAAATGAAATGAAATTTAATTTCAATCATGCTATAACCAATATGAAGATTATAATTACGCTTCTACGGAATCAACGAAAAGTTAAAAACGCTGTCAATTGGCGTTGTAATAATTTGCGCTATTGATAGATGCCGATCTTAATTAATAGTTCAAATTGAAGACTGTTACAGTCATTCCAGCAATAAGAAGGAATCATGAATCATTAAAATATTTTTTCAATTATAATATATAACAAGCGATAAGATAACAGAGCACAGCAGTGAATAGTAATAGATTATATTTGTTGAATGGACCAATGAGCAGAGATGGCAATGTTACTTGACAGGCTTGCAACACCTGGGTTTGGAGCAAGGAGGACCAGCAACTGGCTGGGGTGGTTTGCCGCGCGGTGGGTTGCCTCCGCACTGTCTTCCGCCGCCGCCACCGGCTCACCACTCGCACGCCGCGCCGACGGGCACCGCGGCGGTCACCGCGACCACCGCCTCGGCCTTCAACCCCTTCCATCACACTGCTGAGCGCAGGTCGCCGAGATTGCCTGCTCCCGCTAACGGTAAGGCGCTCCACTTTCGAGTGTATCGCGACAACTGACGTCATTACAATTAAATGCTGCGACTTTTGAACAAATAAAACGGCACGAATTTTTTTCTTTTTCTTTTCTTACAGTCGTTAGAAGTCGAAACATTTTTCAGTTGTATGACATTCCAAAGAATAATTTCCTTTGCGTAACAATTTGTCCGATAGACAGTTAACGAATAATCCCGGTCGACATGACAATCATCGAAAAAGCTTACAGCCAGACGAAAGAGGCGTTTTCACTTAATCGTACACTTTGACCAATTAAAGACTCACCGAGGACCGAACTGGGCGGTCCAGGAAACGTATCCGTACGGGAACTGGCGCCTTCTACGTCTCCCGGAAGCGTCGGCCCGAGCTTGTTGACGACGAGCGCGCCGACGCCACCCACTGCCGAAACTACTACTACGACGTCAACTACGGCGGCGACGGCGGCGGTTGCCACCGCCACAACACCGAGTAACTCAACTCCGTCCACTCATCAACCACACTTTCAAGGTTACTAAATTGATCTGCTACTAAGTGTTTTTACGTTAGTCATAAATGTTTTCTTTGCGTGAATATTTAATGAATATCAAGTCAGATTACGAATCTTCATTAATATGATCTTTTCCCGTGATAGACAATAACGAATTTGATAACTACTAAAATTTCAAATATTCTAATTTATATTAATATCTTTGAAGCCTTTTCAGTTTCAAATTCAATATGTGTATCTATAGTTCTCAAGGCATTTTGTTCGACAACAAGAAATTAGAAAGAGCAACGGCATACATTAAAATCCGACAATTTCTGGCAAATCTCACAGGTCTTCATCTTCTAGGCGCTACAAACTCTCTGTTCGGCTCGATCTTCGCGCCGCTGTTACCACAATCTTCGTGGTTATACAATCCGCTCTACCACACACAACAGTACATACTGGAACCCGAGTGGCATGCATTGGCACTTCGTATGGCACAACAACGGCTTCAACGACCAGATCATCAAGCGAGGTTAGAAGATCTTCGTAAACGACGCTCGAGTAGTGATAGTTTGGATGAAGATGACAAAAATAAGGAGGATGGCGAACGAGCACTTGACAGTCCTGATGGTAGTATAGAAGTAGACGATGCAGATGAACCAAGACCCAAAGCTCAAAGATTGTCGCCAAGTGAAGAGTCTCTTGAACAGGACAGTCCAAGGCATTCGCCTGCTAGGTAATTATAAATGATTTTCACTCTTAATTTTTTTATGGTTAGCTAGTGTGGAGTACCTTGTCATTTTGAGAAGCTAATGATTTCCGGTCATATAGCTTATCAAGAGTGGAATGAATAGGCTGATTATCGCCAATTGATTCAATGAATAATCTTCATGCACAGAGATTTCAAAGAAGCCAATTTGAATAATACGATAAAAGCTGACACAAAATTTCACTGAAATACATTTATGTAATTTTTTAGGATCGACATAGATCCCCCTCAAGAGGAAACAGCAAGCCACCTTCGACCAAGTTTAGAAAATCAGAACGAACACGATCACACGACACAAATCGACTCGCAAGACTCAACGACAAATCAACGAGGTCTGACAGTAAAAATCCGCGTAGAAGGAACGGTAGATCTGAGCACCAAAACGCGGACGCAACGGGACAAGGAAAACATAGGTCAGGATTTAACGACTACGACAAGAAAAAAAGAAGACGAAGTTGAAATCAAGCCAAGAAGAGAAAGAAGCCCCAAGCCCAGGCAAGTCTGGAGGCCGTATTGAAGGTGGACGTCGACACGGGAGAAGAACTTGCTTTGATGCGTGATTGGTGTTTTTGTTATTGATGAGATATCCACGGCTAATTGAAATTGTATAAATGATGATAATTATTTACATTACATACTATTTCTGCAAAAACTTTTGAGTAGTTTTGAACGATCTACTTATTTATCAAATGTTGTATAGAAACGTTATCGGTTATCCATTTATGTATCTGTATACTCACATTGTTGTAATTCTACAAAAAAAAAAAAAAAACAAGTATAGTTACATTCTACTAGTCTCACAGTTGTTATATTTACTTGTTGAATTACTATTGTTTAATTTTACTTAATCCTGATTTTTACTACATACTTTTGCGTAAAAAGCAAAATTTGATTGCATCAACAAGTCAGTTCCTCGTCATATCACTCAATAAGGACTCATTCGAGGACTAACCAGGGTTTAACAATCAGATATAATTTGTAAATAATTGTGATTGAAAACTCGGCCACTGACTAGATTTAAGTGTTCATGAATGACAAAAAAAATTAACTTGTAACATCGTTAGCTACTCTGATGTAAACTATTTCATGAGACCAATGGGAAATACATTGAGGCCATTTTACTGTGAATTTTTCGTCTAAAACAAATTACTGTAAATATTATCGATTATATAAAAAAATTTTAAAATAAGTAGAAAATAATAATTAACTTCACTCGAAGTACCTATATAATGTTCTTGTTTATCAATGCAAACAGCTATTTGAGTGACGTGTGAAACCGTAACTCGTTTCAAATTTTCATTGTAAAATTAAAGTTCATATAATAATGTCATTGCAGAACAATGTGTATCAAGATTCATTCTTGATAAGATGTACGCGTGCGTCTTCTGATATGTTACTGTATGGCAATGTGCAGCTGTAAAATCCACCTAAAAATCATCCATTGTTTAGCAAATAAATAACATTTGTTCCAATCATTGCCCATATTTCCCCTTCGGTTTTTCAAAACCTTATTATTTTTTAATAAAAACCATGATTGTAAATCAATATATTATGTTACATTTTATGGCTCTGGTTTTTTCCTTCGTTATTCTTATTTTATTTAAATATATTTATCTGAGTACGTTCTTCTGGTCTTCATAAGTTTTGTTATATTACCACACCCCTCTATATTATTTACAATTAGTTAAGATAAAATTATGAATAAATTATAAATAATAAAAAATATAAACATAAAATACTATAAATAATTTGAAGATATTAGAAAGAGAAATCCTTTTATCAAAAATTTTATTCTAATTTTAATTTCACCCATACTTTAAAGATCATCATAGTTCTTTTAAAAACTACTATCAAAAGTAAGAAAAATAGCTTAGTTTTTAAAAATATTGGCAGTGCCGCAATTTTTGTTTCTAAACAAAAATGTCTCATTTTTGTTGCCTTGAAAATATCACATTTATTATATGATATCATTAAAAATATATCTGCGATTAAATTTCTTTGGTCTTGTTTAGAATATTGAACGATATGATATTTAGAATATTGAAAAATATTGATTTTACATAATCGAAACAAATTTGTTTTAGTTTATTGATTAAATCTAATTTCGGATGCGGGTAAAACCATGAATCACAAGAAAAATTAAGTTAACAATTGTTACAAAAAAACTCATTTATATTTTGGCGGCATCTATATAGTAAGCATCAAAGCCAACTAACCTACACCTGGACTATTGGTATGTAGCATGGAGCGCACACGCGTAAAGGCGATTCAGTTATTCAACGCGCATGCGAATATTTCATGTAATAAAAGAGAGTTGGGGGAATTCAGAAGATCGCGCGTGATTGAGGAAAATACAAAGCCAACCAGAGTGGTGACGTGTCATTGAAATTGAGATTTAAAAAGGCACAATCATTTTCGGCATTATTTCCCAACACTGCTGACTCCTATCTGTGGCTTCTTTTGTATTACTGCTCACTTGACACTGCATACGGTCAATTTTACGGAGAGAAATGCATTCGTTCGATATCGTTTCTTTCGAATATTTAAAAAACATTATCGCTAAATTTTACCGGTGCACGATCTTTAGTTTTCTATTTTATCGTTTTACAAAACAATTTCAAAGATAACGCTTAAGTGACTCATAGGCATTTTTCTCGGAACGTGGATATGTCAGAAAAGCTAAAAGTTATCCGAAAAAAAATATATTCACATACCTCAGATGACTACGTGCGATAACAATAACGCACACATTTTTCTTATTTGAAAATTATATCCGTTCGCTGTTATTAGGAACTAATTGTTGGGTAGTCAGCTAAGCTTGTGAAATTGTTTTTTGTATAAACAACTCTCTACATTTTTTACTTACCTCTGCTTGTTACGGAAAATACGTTTGGTATTGTCTTACTTTTTATCTTAAAATAAAAATTATTCTATATCTAAAATAATTATTAGGAAGGCAATTTATCGTTTCTAAACGTTAATTAAAATTGATACGGGGTTTTCCATAAACCAATTTGTAAGAGTGAAAAATAGATTAATTATTAATGCAAACTTTTCCAAAATATCACATTCATTTAAGAGTTCAACGATGATGGATATTTGTATTTTCTAATTCTTTGAATATATTTTAATTATTTATTTTTTCAAAAAGTCTAGCGTAAAATTGAACCGATTTTTCCCATACTTTATGAATAATGCGAGTGTATTCATTGTCTTACTTTGGTCATATTTTATAGCTATACTTTACCTATATTTTTACCCGTGTTGATTTACATTTTACTCGACATTTTTACTCTTATTGAACTTTGAAAACATATACATCGACGTACTTCGCTTTATAATTTTGTTGTAGTAATAAATGTTTTATGAGGTGCTATAATATTTAAAATTCTGCCAAACACGAAATTTGGAATGAAAACGAAATCAAAATACTGTTTCCACCCGTAAAATTTGAAGTTACATTAATATTATCATTTGTTCCGTTATTCAAGTTATTGAATTATATATGAAATCATGAAAATTTATGTAATTTTTTTTGACGATTTTAGGATTTTTAAGAACGAAAACTGTGTCACAAGAATGTGCGATAAGAGACACAAGTATTTTTCGTTTTTATGAATCAATTGATTGATCAAGTGGAAAAATAAGAGATGTGTATTCAATACAAATTTTAACATAGCTGCGCCGAAATATGAATTTTTTTGTCATTAATATTCAATAAGTATCAGAAGCTATACACAGTTTGAATGAAAAAAAAATATCTACTAAAGTAATAATAATGTAATTCAATTTTGATTGAAATTGTTGGTTTGGAAAAATTGAAAACAGTAACTTAATTATTATAAAGTTATTTTTATTTATTAACTTTATTAATAAATTACATTGTTAATTTATTCATTAATAGTAATTATCAATAATTATATTAAAATGTATGAATAAAATAAGAGAGTATCTAAAGTATATGTACTTTGGAATTTGGTAATTTGCTCGAGCAAGCCAAGGCGTGATGCTTTTAGAACTCTTTTGTTAACTATCGTTTAAAAATTATAACGTCAGTCGATAAATTTGTACCATTAACAAAACGTAAAAATATCATTACCAATAAATTTTTATAGTTAAAGTTAAATTCTATAAGATATTTAATTTTACAAGGAACTCCTCCATTTTGGTGACATACTGTGTAATGTAAAGATTGAATCAGCTAAGTCATTCTTGAAATATTAATCACTAATTATTATCATCAGCGTTAAGTTAGTTCAAGTGTTTCAGTTTAATTGTCGCCTTAACTAATCAGACAAGTAAAATGTCATTTTCAATTTTAGCAAATTTCGTCATAACAAAATACCTTCGATATTAAATTGACGCTTAATTATTCCACACAAAAAAAAACGGATGCGACACCTGTTATCGACTAATATTTGCTTTTTTCAATAGCTACGTCAATCAAAAACAGACTTTATAGATATTTCGAGCATAAGAATTTAATTAACGTTGACGTCTATTTACTAGCGTTACAGTGACGTTTCTTATAAAAACGTTGCTAAGGTTTATCAGTTATAGTGGAGGATACATCATAAATTGAGCACACTTTTCAATTTGTTGGAGAAAAAATGAATATAATGATATTAATGACTTTAATTATTGCAGCTTTAGGTAAATATATATGAAATAAATTTATAATAAACATAAAGCTAACAATATTTTATCGATATTTCACAGTAAGACATGCTGTATCATTTTTCTATGGTATGAATATACGAAATATCTTTATTATTTTTCATTGCGTGTGTATGAGGGTATATTTATATTAGTATTTAAGACGTTACAAAATAAAAATGTATATGTTTTAGCATATAAATCTGAGCAAGTATGCATTCCCAATCATGAGTTCGTATTCCATGACAGATATTGTCAGTGTAACGATGATGGGACTAAGATCTTGTGTGACAAACCTATAGATTCACCGGTAAAGTTATTATTTAAACCGGACCAGTTGCAAAGTGAGCATTTAATCAAGCGCTAACTGAAATCAAGGGTTTGAAAAATTTAATTATTTGTTTATTGCAGATTGGACACTCCCATGCATCCCTAATAGAAAGTTTAATTTACTATGCCACGATTGTTTATGCGATGAAACTGGAAAATATGCTACTTGTGCGCCTGGTTCTTGTACCAATAATCTGCTGAAACCTCGTATGTCTATTTTATTTCAGATATAGCTATCAATATTGTTGTATTTATCAAAGAATAAAAAGATTTTCTTGTTTGAAAAAATATCCATTACTTTTGATGGATAATTAGTTTTTCACCAATTTTAATATTTATTAGATATAATTGAAAAACAATTAATCGAAATACATAAAAATAGCAAGTCCAAAAGTATGCATCCCAGGATCTGTCTTCAGTGATGATTGTAATGGTTGCATATGTGGTGCGGATGGTAAAGCAGCTTGTACGAAAATAAATTGCCATCTAGATTCAAGTAAATCATATTAAATGTTTAATGTTTTGCATTGTTATAATGTAATACATCGCTTCCTAATGTATTAAATTGACACGTTGTTTCATGTTTTTATATCTATTGTTTAATTTTCAGATACGCCTCAATGCGTACCAAATACTTTGGAATTTATGTTTGAATGTAATATGTGTTCGTGCTCAAAAGACAGTCGCATATCTTGCTATCGTATGGGTTGTGATTCATTTACATTTCAACATGAAAGTCTTTTAAGTAAGTAGTGTTTATTTAGCGATATTAATTATAATCGTTTTGAATAAACTTTTAAAAATTTGTGCTTGGTCTTTGTGACGATATTTTTATTTAATTTACAGATATTACAAAAAAATGTAGAGCTAATAGCATTTTCAGTTATAACTGTCACAAGTGCATATGCGGAAATAGTGAAAACTACGCTATCTGTTACGGGAAACAGTGTTCAAATTTTAATCAAAGTAAGGAATATCATTGAAAACTTCTACCAATATTGTTATTTAGAATTTCCATCTATATATGAGTATTTTTTAACCAGAGAAAGATACAACAAACAAGTGTACACCTGGAATGATTTTTAAAGACTCCTGCAATGTCTGCGTATGCGGTAGGAAAGGCAGAGGAGTATGTACCACATTGAATTGCGATATTATGTATCGCCATGCGTATGGCAAATAACCATATGTATTAAATTTTTGTAATAAATCGACTTGACACCTGGGTGTGCGGGAAACAAGCGCAAAGTAATTTTCACCCCTTGTTGTTTTTTTGCTCCCTCATCAAAGCCACAAACAGCAGAGAAACTGTGGCTCGCATCGCAACAAACTGGCCCAATGACCGCGCGCGATTAAAATTTCACGAGAGGGCTCACGCGGCACTTTTCTCTCCCTCTTTTTTATTTATTTCTCTTTCCCGCCGCTCTTTGTTGCCTGATTTTATCTCCTGGCGATTTCGTCTGCCCACTCGTGCGCGCTCGCCGAACTGGCTTCATTGTATCTCGCTCTCGGGGCGCGCGACCGCAGTCAACGTCACCGACGCAAAGCCTGCAAAACGGATTGATTCATCGATCGCCATCAAGCTGCACATAACGATATACACGTGCACACTCTTTCGCTGCTACGGCCTATAGCTATGTATCATTTTCTCTTTCGCTCTCGTTAACGCCTCTCAATGGCCGCCTGTCGAGTGAACACTAAATGTGATCTATCAGTCTGATAAGTTTCACTGATGGTTTGCGTTTAGCCGAACGCTTTTTTCACTTTCGCTCCGATGTTTGTTCCAATGTTCGCATTTCAGCTTTCATCGGCTTAAATAGCCCAATTTGAATGAGACTCAGACATACCTTGTAGATTTCACGTCCGCGTGAGACGGAGATACAATCGATAAAGCTCGAATTGCAGGTTGTAGCTGGGCTGTCAAAATTTCGAGTTACCTTGTACGAGGCGCGCGTCCAGGGGGGTGCGCGCGTCCCACCGAGTTCTCTTTTATGGTCGTATCATCGACCCATCAAAGCTCGACGCGAGCGTACATGACAAAAGGCAAATCCCGTCGTACGTTGCTCCGTCTGTTTCTTTTTCTATTTTCATCGCTGCGTTATTTTATTTTCGCTGCCGCATTGTTTTTGATACGTTCGAGATGGGCAGCTCCCATTTAGCTTCTGACGGTCTGTGCTAGCCCTTTGAGATTGATGGTGATTGATTATTGAGGGATTTGGCGCTGAGAGGTATTTAAACATTCCTTTGTTGCGTTTTTGCGGGGACAAGCGCTGTACAACTTTTGTGTACTTCTCGTATACGTCCGTTCTTCAAGTGCAATTGACAGCTTTGGTTGGTCTGTATGAAATCTGTATGAAATCTGTCGTTTGAGGCCTCGTCGTGACAAAAGTAAACTTATGTCACGAACAACGTCAAATTTCATAATCTTTGAAGATTATTCATTTACTACTATGTAAGTATTCTCATTAAACGCAAACGTTTTCCTCTTCATATTTGGGAAAACTTTACACAGCATTTTGTAGCACTTTGCTCGGGTAAAAAGTTCTTCCAAGAAAAGGCGCTCGCAAAGGCACAGCGCGCGCTTACGTGTGTGCGTGCGTGAGTGTTGAGTGCTAAAAGCGCGAAGCTCTCACCGTATAATCTCGCAAGTTTCCTGCTCATCATGCAAATGCTCGGCTGTAGATACAGCTGGAGAGAGAAAAGACTGGTACACGAGTAGAGTAGTGTAGGCGCGAGCGCGGAGCCCCGAGCGGAGTCGAAAGAAAGAGCAAAGGTCCGTGCGCGCAGCGCGAGCAAAGACAAAGGAGGCGCCTCCGTTAAATTACATCGCCGCGCCTTCCCGGAATCCCTTTTTGTGCGATTCTTTTTTTACTCGGCATCCGCTTTCTCTTTTTCCTTCGTCCGGCGAGCGAGCACTTTAGATAATAAGGCCGAGCCAGCGGGCGAAAGGGTAAATTGGGTATCCGTCCGAGGAATTATCCCTCTAATTTCTTTAGCGCGAGCGTCTCTTTTTGCCGCTACCGCCTGCGGACCGCCGTCTGCTAACGCGCGTAGTAGCGCCGCCGACGTGTAGATAAGGTGAGCTTTCTCTTTCGGGCGCACGCTTTTATGCCTTATTTAGGGTGCCGATGCTTAGGCATATTATGCATGTCCGGTACCTGCTTTGAGCTTGTCAACGCTTTTTATGCTGACTGAGGCCTTCTTTTTGAACCCTTTTCAACCGATCCCCCCTCTCAAGTGACGCCTCTTTGCTCAACGTAATTGGTGGTTTCGCGCCACAACTCTATTTGTTTTTTCATCAACACCAGCAACGATAATTATGAGCGTTACAAAGTTTGCAATGTTCATTCAGATCAACAGGTATTATTATTTCTTCTCTTCGTTTATTATTCATTTTTCATGAAGCCTGCGTAACAAAGTTTCATACTTATCTATTATATATTTATGACGCAAATGTCTTTTTACAGCTAGCTTTGTCTCGATTTCAACTTCAGTAAGCGCTATCTATATCTAGAATCGTCACTGATCATCTCTCTATTAAAAAGTGAATAACCTGATCCTAGACTCGTCACAAATGAAAGGGTAGGTCGTTCGTTAGTAAAAAAAAATAATTCCACGCGTAAGGAGCTCTAATGAATGGGTGAAAAAGGCGAAAACAAACCGAGAAACGGCCTCCGGCAAATGAAACAAGAGCCGTGCAAAATCCGGCGAAGGGACAGTGGCCATCTTGCGTGGTAAGAACGAGACCAAGCCCGCACCACTCATTACCCGCGAACTGCAGCCAGCTCCGACCGTCGACACCTCGACCTCGCTTTGCCTTCTCCTCTTTCCTCGTGTAAACCCTGTAGCTTCTTGCGCTCTCGCGCGTCTTTGTTTCTTGCGCTGCTGCTGTTAAGGACTTGGCAAACATTTGCTGTCTTTCGCTTCAGTGTAGAGGAGTGCAAGTATAGAGCTTGCAGCTTTCTTTTGCTCGATAGCAGAGGGACTAGAGGAAAACGAGCGAGAACGTTTCTCATGCATGCAGACTGCAAAATTGTCTGAAGCGACGCGAAAGCGAAAATTTTTTCGAGATCTTGAAGTAGACGGAGAAGACGCTTGATACGGAAAAAGTTACGTGATATTCGAGCAATGCTATTTGAAACGATTCGTTTATTAACTGTGCAGTCAACTGATTCGAGCTTTCGTGCGACATTAATAATTCATTTTCACGAAAGAACGCGTTTTCATATTTTCACGCGGAGCAGCTGAAATTGGAACTCTATAAGGATTTCTCACCACGTTCAGGAGCTGTAATTTCAGACGGCCGACAAAGAAAGCCAAAGTCCGAGCGCAAATGTTGAACGTCGTAGCGTCGCCGGAAATAAGGGATAGCCAGTGAAAGCCACCTTTCATTTTTCACGGGTCTAACCGAATTTGCCGAAGCTCGGACTCTCGTGCCAAGAAAAGCTGCACGTACAGCGGGAGGCGGTATCCAATTCCGAGACGTTGGTCTTTCTCCTCCTCCTCCTCCTCCTCACAGCTGTACGACAAGCCGATAGTCGGCGCTATCATTTATACGAATTACGAGTGACGCGGCACCCAGACCTCAGGGGTTACCAGGTCGTTTGTTATTATTAGTTTCGGGGCATCGCCTTGTAATGGGCCGGTGATGTTGTTTCGTTACTCGTGTTCGACGATTCGCTTCTTCTTCTTTTATGGCTTGTCAAGGGGGTTCCTTCGAGATGGATTATTTTCTCCTTGGGATTGTCTTTTGGTGATTGATAATTTTGATCGTTCACAGACGGCAAAGATTTTCTTCTATTCAACGGATGATACATGGTAATTCGAATACCGGATAAGTATGAGAAATTCAGCACAAATATTAAGTAATTCGGACAATGTATTATTTTTCAAGCAACGCCTAAATTTCATAATTGTACTGGTCATGATCGAACTTGACAACAGCTACAAACTAAATTTATTTAAGTATACTAGATGGCATTTTGGCGCTTTCGTGAAAGATTACATTTGACTTTTTCAACTGTTATTTTGAAATGCTGCATTTATTATTAACTTTTATGTTCTCGATGAAACTTTAAATCCCGGCTAATATGAGTATTTCTAGAAAGAGGATTTCATTGTAAATTGTAGAACTTTTAGGTTATTTCGTTTGCAAGCAAACAGTTAATAATCTATAAAATTAATAACATGCTAAAAATCAACAGTGTACGAATATCTCGGCGACTCTTATAGAGACACAAGCACATGATCTGTCGAACAGTCGCAAGCATATTATAATCTCAGCTTTCAATTTCGCGCGGATAGAGAGAGAGGGAGAGAGAAAGAGAGAGAGGGTTCGCTCCTTCTTCGCTCGAGGCGCTCGTCATATTATGTTTACTCCGGCTGTTTACAACTCCAACCCCTGCTTTGCTGCCTGTGCACTTTACTCCCGTCGTACATCTCTATATCGCTGGCTTTCTCTCCTTGCCTTGCATTCAGCATAGCCTCCACACACCGACAAATGATTTGATCAAGAGACACTGAATTCAGTCTATTTCGTATGCGAGCTTCTTCATTTTTCGACTTTCGCTATAATTTGCTATCTCTCGCTTTGTCATGAGAAAGAAAGTTTTAAATCTAATTGTAACATTCCCGTGAAAGTTGGATCAACACTATTCGTTTTCAAAATATAAAAAGGTAATGGAGGTCGCTGGTAAAAAGTGTCAAGTTCTAAATTTGACGTGACCCTTATTCTTCTCGTTTTCTCAGGTCGCGCGTGCTATTACTGTCCGAAGGACTCAGCGCATAAGGTAAATAATACGCAAGAAAAGAAATCAACCCCGTCACTGCGAGACTTGTATTTAATAAGCGCACGAGAAATTTCACTCGTAAACTCATCCTGTGAAACCGTTCATTAAATTATTTAGTTGATCGAAGTGCATATCGATCAACCACTTATGATGAAATATTACTTGAATAAATGGATGCAATCATTCTGTCAAAGCTATTTTTGAGGGCCGTCTTTATTTATATCTTATTATTCTGCGATAAAGTACATCAAACATTGTTTAATATTGTAAACTCCACAAAATGTAAAATTACGACACACAGGTTACGCTAGTATCGCTGTGTGAATATAAGCGTCGAGATCACGGAAGGGGGCTCGGATTAAAGGTCGTAAATATCATCTGCTAAATAAAGCTTCAATTCTCTTTCTCTGCTTCTCTCCCTCTTACTCAAGTGCATTAGTTCAACCCCTTTGCCTCCGTATATTTACGCGACATGACAGGAAAAAGGGAAAGTCTAAGACAAAGTTTCATTGACAAGATGCTGCACGAAGAATTTGAGGCAAACCCTGTATTGCATTGGTGTGATCGTGGAATGAGAGCATTATTGTAGTACGAAAAACGAACGAAGTTGCACGCGGATTTTTCCAAATTGATAATACGTGACAAAGTCCACGCAACAGCTTAGCACGTGGAACACGAAAGAAAAACGCGCAAGTAACAATACGGTCTCGTTCCAAAAAAATAAAAACGAAAGCCCAGTGCGGCGGGTAAAAACAGCGCGTCGCGCGAGAAGCCTCGCGTCGTGATGTATCTGCGCGTCAAACTCGTCAACGTCGGAAGTCCTTTTCATCCACGTGGCGACTGCGCTTGCGCCCGCCTGTAGCTGTTGGTTCGCGCCATTAAGCAAAAGCGTTTGACTAACCGAGACAAAAATCCGGCAACGACATTTTTCCTTCCTCTCTCCGCCACGGGGAATTCCGTGCGTTCCAAAACCAGCCCCCTCGCGCCACCGTTTCGGGAACAAAAGCGAGAAACGAGAGAGAGAGAGAGAGAGAGAGAGAGAGAGAGAGAGAGAGAGAGAGAGAGAGAGAGAGAGAGAGAGAGAGAGAGAGAGAGAGAGAGAGAGAGAGAGAGAGAGAGAGAGAGAGAGAGAGAGAGAGAGAGAGAGAGAGAAAGAGAGACGCGCGTGCATACACGCTTGCCCGTCTTTCGTTTGTTTCAAGCGTCATTTGTTTGGCCTCCGCCGGAAACGCGCGAGGGTTAGCAAAAGCGTCTCCGTCTTTTCTCCTTCTTTTGCGGAGTTCAATATTTCGCTACGAGAATGTCGGTTTTTATGGCTAGCCATCAATTCTTTTTTCATGACAAAATTTTCAGTCATTTTTATTATATTCTAATTATATAAATTATGTGTTATTATATATTATTATATATATATAATATATTAATATATTCATATTAATGGAACTTATTCAATAAAATTGTTAACCGTCAATATATATTTATTAAGTTATTATTAGATGATACAGCTCTTTGCTGACTCTTTGTTTTAAAGTGTGACCTTGACACAATTGCGAGAATAAAAGACGTGTGACAGAATGTATTTATGAACGGCTTATTTGTATAGCTACGGTATAATAGAGTAACGAGCAAGTTAAAAATACTCAAATGACTGGTACGTCAATGCATTTATGTTTGCAGTGAACGTTTATGAAAAGTGCGAATTTCAACAAAATAACAATCGAACAAAATTTATCATATCTAAAAGGTATTTGGATTAGTAAATCACAATATCTCGTGATTTTAGAAAGTAACGGTCACGGCATTCCTAAATAACGATCGTTAAGCGGTGTTAAGATTATTTCTGATTTGTAACTTATCTAATTGGTGACAAAATCGCTCGAGTTTTTCTTTCAGTCAACGTAGACTTGTTAGTATGCACTCTACTACGACATTGATCACACGAATTCTAATCTATCAAACGTCACGAGCTAATCTACTGCAGAGTACAATTCCGGTACGACAAAGACTAAGCGTTCTCAATTGAGCATCCGGTTGTAATACAAAACGTGGCTTGACTACTGGCCGAAACTTCTGAGGTTACTGACACGATTAAGTATATCAGTGAGAATTACACGATGGTTTTGTTCCTTGGTGGGAGTTTTCTGACCCCCACCAATCATAATGCTTAGTGCTTATTCGAACGAAAGGTATAAGTATAGGGAGATGAATCTCGAAAGCGTGTTCAGTGAGTTTACTATTTCTATTTTGTTCAATCAGATTTTAAACTTGACTTGTCTATAACGTCTACTAGTTTCGTTACGCGTCAGAAGACTTATATATTTATAGATTTATGACCTACTCTTGTATAAAAACAATGGAATAGATTGATAGTGTCGTATGTGATGGAATGTTGATAAACTAGGTGCATTAGCGAACTCATAATTAGGTATGTTTTTCTATTGTTACTTGCATGTTTCAAATAATTAATAATTTGAATTATTAATTTTAAATGTGATTAAACAGTAAAAATAATTATTTCTTAAAAAAACCTGTTGTCAATTTATGGAGAAGTTGTTCGTTTGTTTCCATGAAAAGATATTTACTGATATTGGAGTATATTTTTATATAAATCATTTTTCATTGGCATCATACATTTGTTTGAATTTTAACACGAGAAACACGAAGTCAAAGATTTTGTAAGTTCTGCCGCTAATTACCACTAATTGCCACTAATCACTTTTTTAAATATTTTTAAATTTACTAATTTAATGACTTTTTCATAATCTGCAATGATAATAATTTAAAAACTACTCTACAAAAGTATATCTTGTTCGACTTTACAAGATCAATTATATTATTTACATATTTGTAGGATATTTATTTAATGGGTTACAATGTGTGAATTTTCGTGATCAACTTTCACCACCGTTGAAGTATGTCAACATTACTTAAATCATGTTGTGAGTAAAAGATTTCAATCGAATATTTTTTATTTTAAACATAAGAAGCTATTGAAAGATAAGAAATTTTTAATCAGGTATATTGAATGTAATGTATTGATTGTAGGCGCTGGCGTTTCTCAAAAATGGATATTCACCATTTTAGCCACAATTGGCGTCTGTATTGGAAATATATTACGTGTGATTATTTCCATCACTTTAGTTGAAATGGCTACACCAATAAGTGAACATGTAAAACAAGAAGATGATACTTGCGTTGTTCTTAATCATTCATATACTCAAAATATAACACATACTATTCATAGTAGTGATGAAAGTATTCATCAGCATCGTTATGATTGGGACGAATATACTCAGGTTGGATTTTAATTACTTACTTTTTCTTAACGACGAGTGGGTAAAAACAAACTTGATAGTATTTCATTCATAAAAGAATTTTTTTACAGGGAATAATCTTGTCAGCGTTCTTCTGGGGCTACGCTCTTACCCAATGGTTTTATGGTGCATTAGTTGAACGTTTCGGAGGCAAATATCTCTTAGGAACGAGCGTTTTCGTACCGGCTGTGATAACTTTTTTGACTCCTGCACTGATTGCTTGGGGCGGCGCTAATGCTCTCATAGTATCGCGTGTTTTGATTGGAGTAGCTAATGGATCCAAGTTTCCAGCTGCAAGTACTATGATATCTAAATGGACAACTCCAGCTGAAAGAACTCAAATAGCAAATGCAATTTACGCTGGGCCTCTACTTGGTTTATTTATCGGCACTATAATTCCTGGACTGATAATGAAATATTCAGGAATGGGCTGGCCTGCAGTATACTACTTATTTGGAGGAATTGGAATAATTTGGTTTCCAGCTTGGGTCTTGCTTGCTTACAACAGCCCGGCAGATCATCCTTTCATAACAAAAGAGGAACTGGATTCTTTGCAACCCAGAAATGAAATTCAGAGAAAACTACCTCCCGCTCCGTGGAGACATATGTTGATGTGCAAAGGATTCTGGACATTTACAATAAGTCTTATTGGTAATAGCTGGGCTTATTATGCTATGATTGCTGATTTACCAAAATATATGAGTAGTGTAGTCAAATTGCCTATAGACAGTAATGGTTTCTTCTCAGCATTACCGTATCTGTTCACTTGGTTCATTAGTATGCTCAGTAGCTGGGTCAATGATAAAATCTTAAAAAAAAAGTGGATGTCTGTGACGAATGTGAGAAAACTACTGGCTACAATAAGTCTCACAGGTCCAGCTGTATTTATTATGTTGGCTTCATTTGCTGAATGCGATACCACTATGGTAATTTCAATGTTTTTAATTGGAATTACATTAATGGGATGTCTGTACCCAAGCGTCATGATGAGCCCATTGGATTTGAGCCCAAATTACGCTGGATCTGTGATGGCTATTGGCAACAGCATATCCTCGATCGTAGGCATAATTACACCATATACGATTGGTGTATTGACACCGAATCAGACTATTGGAGAATGGAGATTGGTATTTTGGATCGTTTTCTTCTTTTCGGTGTCGTCAAATGTCATTTACCTACTATGGTTTAGTGCAGAAGTTAAGGACTGGGATGATTCAAATTTTATTAGGAACAAAACTAACACAAAAAAAAACATTAATGGTGCGGAAATGAAAGTTGTACCCTAAATTTGTATAAAGTCGTCAAGGAAATGTAAAGAATTAATTTTCTATATAGACTGATCAGATTTAAAAAAATTTTCTACAATATAATTTAAATCTACATAAGAAGTAGTACTCTGTCATAAACAATATTTGATATAGGTTTAAACTATTTTTCATGTTGAATAGCAAATATTGAAAGCAACTATTTCTATTAAAAAATCAATTGTAAATTAATATCTATTTTACATTTTTACACTAGTATTTATTAATAAATTTATTATGCTTTTCATACATCTACACAAATATATAATAAGTGAAAAGTATTTATAGTTTAAATGAAATGAATAAAATATTAGACATTTTTCAATTTTATAATTTTTAAAAGTACACAGAATAGTGAGATGAGACCCCGGAGAAAGGGTGTTAGGTCCGAAGTATAAGAGAGCGTAGAGAAATAGTAGAAAATTTGACAAACGTATCGCTTCATCCGGACTATATTACGAGGAACATATTTAAAGAGTGAACAGTGGAATTATGGAATAAGAAAAATACAAGTACGCAAAATTTTAATCAGATAGCCCGAAAGAAAATTGTTTAGTAATAATTATTACATAAATTTTAATAAACATACGTGGGTCAGAATGCTTGTGAAATCAGAATCGATAATTTTTTTCATTGTGTAATGAATAAAAAAATATTTTGTCACTTAAAATAACAATTACCTCAATGAAATAGGATATTTTTTAGCTGAAAATTATTAAAAAGTGTACCAATATCGTAGTACTATTGGTGTAAGTGACTCCAAATTTTTTTCAAACTCTTACATATTTTTTAGAGCTATTAAAAAATGCCTTGTCGATTTATCGAAAATAATAAAATATTTAGGAAAAAATAAAACCATAGCTCATTTTGGTTTTTAAGGCAGCATTGTAGTTGGCAGCGTTTTGCGTCAACAGAAGCTAGAGAAAGTTTTCAAGGAAATTTGATTGTTGTTTATAGAATTTTTTTTTAATTGTAAAAACCAATGATGCTAATGAAATATTATATTTTTTAATACTTCGTTTTAGCAACTATATAACAAATCCATAAATCCTCATAAATTTTGACTTTTATTTAAATTATTATCAATCATAAGTACCGAGCAATATCTACACTTAATGTAGGTGGTATGAATTTGAAGTCAACAAATATAACAAAAAAGTTGAAGTCACACTCGAGAATGGTTGATGTTTGTCTTCAAAAATCTGTGTGCAAACTAAATAAACTAGAATATTTTATAAAATTGAACACAAAGTTTGAAGCAAAAGTTCAAGCAGTTTTCATTCTCACTGTCATATTTTAACATTAGCTTCACATTTCATAACAATATATTATTTTATTATAAATTTCTTTATATGTCATTAAATGATAATCTTTTTTTTTTGTTCAGAATAACTACTGAATGTTATTTTTTATTTATAAAAATTATGTAAAAATTACCAGTAATATACAACGGAAAGTTTCTCTAGATGTATACAAAATATAAATTTCATATACACTTCAAACTGGTAGATTAATTACATTACCTTCTGACTATGTACAATAACTCGTTCATCTTATTTACCTTGACGTACGATAAGCAATATTAACTTGCACAATTTGATAAGAGTATAACTATCATAAATTTTGATTTTATCGTAAGAAGTACAAATTTTTTTCAGAGATGTTTCTAATTACTTATGATGTCGAGTATGATGAAAATATGCTTGTTATAATTGAACCCTAATAATTCATGTCATTTCCAATATTTGAACGTCTTTATAGATAAAGCCATCGTCTTTTTGCGAGTAATAATTTTCAATCAAAGTAAGCTTTACATTACATTTCTAACATCGACGTATAAAATTCAACAACAAAGCTCTGTAGCAAATCGGTAAGAATGATTATTAAAAATGTTAACGTAACTCTGTTTCATTTTGAAAAAAAATTATTTATAGATTATAAATTTAGTAATAGCATTAATCTACTTGAAAGTAAATAATAGCTGAATTAATTGCGACTTGATAACACTGTAGTGCAACTAATTTTAACTCGCCATTTGAATCCTTCATTGAATGTTCTTTTATTGAACAAAACATTTTTTTACTGACTCTTCTGTCTACAGTATTCTATCTAATTAGAGCTCATATGCTGAATATACATTTGGACATTATAAAACTCGTTTAATGTATTTAATTCAATAAAATTACTCGTTCATATTAATAGTAACCCGAATCTAAAAATTTATTCTAATTACCATTTTTGTTGATCTATTCAGCGATTAAAAGTTTGAAAGATAATTTGCATGCTATGAAATATAGTTAACATTATTGAAGTATAAAATAAATGTAAAATATTGAACGTTTCTGATGATAAATACATTATAACTAGAATATATCATATGTATATGGATAATATAGTAATTAATATCGCTTATAAACCTTTTAAATAAAGTTGTATTTAATTTTCCTTATTTGACAAAGCTTTAAAATGCATGAAATTGCATTATAGTTAATTTATCAGAGTCACCAATTGAATACAATAATGAAAGGACTATAGTCTCATGAAAGTATGCCTTCATTTTTGAAATCGTATTGTAAGTACAACAAAACCTGTTTTTTAAGCTGTTACAGTAAAGAGTAATAATAAATTTGATTGCAGGTATAGGTATTTCGCAAAAATGGATATTTGCTATCCTAGCGACTGTTGGCGTTTGCATAGCAAGTATAGAGCGCATTATCCTTTCAATTACTATAGTTGAAATGACTGTACCAATAAGTGAGCCTATAATTCAAGGAGATAATGATTTTAATAACACGTTTTTACGAAACCTTACATCAAATATATATATGAATGATAGCGTTATTTCGGAAAAACGTTACGACTGGGATGAATATACTCAAGTATCATTTTCACTGATTATTATTATTAATGAATTCATCAATATTATTTGAGTAATGCTAATTTTTAATATAATTTTTACAGGGAGTCATTCTTTCTGCTTTTTACTGGGGTTATGCTTTCACGCAACCGTTTTATGGCTCTCTTTCGGAAAAATATGGAGGCAAATATTTTCTTGGTCTCAGCATATTTATACCATCTGTGATAAGTTTTTTCACGCCTATATTAATTTCTTGGGGAGGTTCCATGGCTCTCATTTGCACTAGAGTAATCTCTGGAATAGCTAATGGTGCAATGTACCCAGTATCAAATACCATGGTATCCCAATGGACAACACCTAATGAAAGGACGAAAATAGTAAACGCTATTTATACTGGGGCATCATTGGGATTATTTCTTGGTATTGTAATACCTGGATTAATCATAAAATATTCGGATATGGGATGGGCTGCCGTGTTTTATTTATTTGGTACAATTGGAATCATTTGGTTCCCAACTTGGACCCTATTTGTTTACAACAATCCACCGGAACATCCTTTTATATCTCAGGAAGAACGGGAATATTTGAAACCACGTTCCAGTGGATGTAACGTTTTAAATGAACTTCCCTCCACTCCATGGAAAAATATAATTTTCTGTAAAGAATTTTGGGCTTTCACAATGGGTCTTATAGGTAATAGTTGGGCCTTTTTCGCTATGATTACAGACTTACCTAAATATATGAGCAGTGTCGTCAAATTTTCTATCGATAGTAACAGTTATTTCTCAGCTCTACCATATTTAACAATGTGTATTGTTAGTACCGCTAGTACATGGATTAATGATAAAATGATAGAAAAACAATGGATATCTGTAACAAATGCAAGAAAGTTATTTGCCTCATTTTCACTCACTGGACCTGCAGTGTTCATTATTTTAGCCTCATTTGCAGGATGCAATAAGATATTGGTTGTTGTTATGTTCATGACTGGAATATCAATAATGGGTTGTATTAATCCTAGCATTATGATGAGTCCACTAGATTTGAGTCCAAATTATGCTGGTACCTTCATGGCACTCGGTAATGGTATTTCGTCAGTTGTAGGTATAATTGTACCATATATTATCGGTATTTTAACTCCAAATCAAACTATTGAAGAGTGGAGAATAGTATTTTGGATAGTATTTTTCTTCTCAGTGGGATCAAATGCAATTTATATATTATGGTTCAGTGCAAAAATTAAAGATTGGGATGATCCTAGTTTTAATAGAAACCAATCAGAAAATAAAAAAAATGAATACGGCGGAGCTAATGTAAATATGTTATCTAAATAGTATATATAATCTAAATTGCCTTTATTCCATAAGTACAAATGTATTAGATACACTATTATAAGTAGAAATGGTTTAAATAATTAATCAATTAAAACCAATCGTTATCACTCTAAAAATAAATTTCTTCGTTATTAATGTTAAAAGTTAAACTGTATAAAAAAGTAAGCATTATTTTTATACCTACCAGTATAGATAGTCGAACAACATATTTCATCTTTTGTACTAAATAAACAAATCATGCTATTAAATAAAATAAATAGTAGGGTAAAACATATAGTTATGTTATCAATGCATGATTATTATTGACATAATATCGAAAAAAACTAGCTATTTTTACTATCACCCTGAACAAACTTTAAATTGATCGTCTAGAAAAAGCATTTGAGGAATAATGAAAGGGTTTGACTTATTTCCACAAAATACTCTTTAAAATTAATTTAAAAAAGTAATTAAAGAAATAGAGAAAAAAATTAATACGACTTAAATTATTCTTATTTTTCCTAACTAGAAATTTGTTGTAACCTATTTATATTTTTTCCGAAACTTCATTTGGAACAGTTATCATATAAAATTTTACATATTGGATACAAAAAGAAAAAAATTAATAAAATTAAAACTTAATAAGCAATAGATAAATTGTTTAATTAAATTAATTTAATTAAAAAAGCTAGAGATATACTCTTTATAAACCGCTTAATGAAGAATATGCATTTACAAGGATAAACATAATAAGAAATTGACGAACTATAAATGTACAACTCATATGTACAACATGTAATATGTCAACTAGTTTCGTAACAACTGATTTCGTAATCAGATTATTAGCATAAATTATACAATAACTCCAACTCATGACATTATCTTATTTGATTTTCTTCATGAGTAGGTGGGCGATTTTTATATTTAGAATGTTAATTCGAAAAACGATCACGCTTATCATGTTTACACGAGAACAAACTAAACTAGAAGAGTACTTGCGATACTATATATAGCAGTCAATTCTATTAAGGCATATCAAAACAGACTGATATCCTCACCTAACACTGTGATCAAATTGATGTACATTATTCTTACTATCAGAGCATTCTTTTTTTGAAGTAGTTTATATCATCATTAAATTAATTTCTGTTGTCACAATTTTCTCTATAAATTTATAATACTATATGTTATTAGCTAAGAATATATGGTATATAATTTTTTTTGTAATTTAGCAGATAACATTCTTGTTAGTCGATGGTTAATACTATTGATACTTCAAGGACTAAGTTTATTTTGATCTCTGCTGGGTTTTACTAGGTATTTTTATACGCACTAGCTTTAATTCCCTATAATTATGAGAGACCTGGAAACTAGCCTTTCCTGCTACATTTGGATGAAGGTGGAAGGTGAAATCTAGCTTACGACCTCTCGCATAGAAACCTGAAAATAACTCCAGATTACCCTTTCTAAATCAGTTTTAGTAAAAATTTTGTGATTATGAAACAAAAGCTTTTGATATTTTTGTGATACCTTTACAAGCTTATCGATTTATAGGTGGTCCAGAAGCATCATATTGAATATTCTGTGTAAAAGCAAGAATTTCACAATTTAATGATGATTAAATTATATTAATATAGACGCGAACGTATATGTACGCACTCAAAAATTTTTCGTCAATCGTTTAATATTAATTTCTACTATTTTCGTCTATAATCACACAAATGTTAATTAGTTTTGAAATCACCAGAGAATTGCTGCATTCATTAACAATGCATTCATTAAATTTCAATGAACGTGCAAATAATAAAGTAATAGTATAATAAAATAAGCAAATAAAACTAAAATAAATCATTTTGAAAATCCAAAGTGAGCAGGGAAATAAAAATTCATTAAAATAAACTATAATATTTATAACTTTCGAAAATTGATAAATGAGTTAATTTTATTATCGACTGCACTGAAATGATAACAATAATGAACCACAGATGTCATCGCTGTATTTATTGAAGTGTTTATAGATCTGTTTTATAAATCTCACTTGCTGCAAGTCGGTCGTAGAAAGTTATTGTAACGTGGATGATATTAGTATAATCATGTATAATTCTTTGTTCGTCCCTAGTTATATACTTGAAATTTGAAATTGTTGATACCTGCACGTGTATTTTAGTACATATCATCCAAATTGTGATATTAGAAAGCAAGTATATTATTATTTCCATTGTTTACTTAATTATTAAGATAAAATAATTTTTTTTTAATATTCTTATTATAGGGATCAAAATTTTTTTTTAAACGAGTCAGGCGACTCTGACAGTGAAAATCAGATTATGCAAGTTGGCGAGAGTAAGCACGTGGCTTGAGCGAGATATTTTTAACTTATGCTTTTGTATCTTGGATGTATGTACACATACCTCAGTGAAATTGTGATCTGCTCTTTTTGAGACTAATTGATCAGACATTATTTGTGTATCATGTGCATGCATTGGCATTATTTTAATTGACTAATAACTCCTTTATTATTATCTATTAATATTTTTCTCCAATTCCCTAAATTATCATTTGAAAAATTAATTGGTTATCTTGAATTAAAAAATGAATAAACTAAAACTTATCAGTATGAATTACTTTCGTATTGAATATTTATATTATATACTGGAGTATTACTTTTGTAACTAAACACAACACTTGTTGATAATAGAGTTAATTCTCTATTATCAGCAAGTTACTCTCTATTATGAAAACTTCGTGAATTTCGGGTAGAAGCTAACTTACTGATATTTTTTCAGATATAAATTACGTGATGTAAATAGGCCTTGTAAAAGAATTGAGCGATGTAATGTGCATAAATTTCTAAAGCGATGTTTTCTTGGAAATCTTGTTGTGAGTAGAATGAGAGTAATGTAATTCATTTATTGAGGTAGTAGAATATTCCGTTTTACAAGCTTTAGACTTAATAAATGAATAAATTTATTATTTCATAAAATGATTTTTGACGACATTTTCATAACTTTTTTAACCGTTATAGGTTCTGGCATTCCGCAACGATGGGTATTTTCCATTTTAGGCAGTCTAGGGATTTGTATTGGAAGTGTTTATCAAGTAATTATTTCAATTACTATTGTTGAAATGATATTACCATTGGAAGAATCATTCGAACAGAAAATTGATGGTACTTGTGAAGATAAAAGTAACGTCATTATTATAAATAAAACGTCCGTATCCTTCCAAAATGTAAATAACTCATCAAAAATACTTTATGATTGGGATGAATACACGCAAGTAAAATAGTAATTAATTTTTAGGAATTCAATAATGTGCTTACATCGTTATGTACATAAAAATTATTTTTTTAGGGAATAATTCTATCGTCATATTTCTGGACGTACTCTTTAGCACAATGTTTTTGCGGTATCATATCGGAACGCTTTGGTGGTAAATACGTCTTTGGATTAGGCATCTTTATACCGGCAGTAATAACTTTTTTTACGCCATTTGCGATTTCATCGGGTGGTTCCGTAGCCCTTGTAGCATCTCGCGCACTGATGGGAATACCAAATGCATCTATGTACCCAGCATCTAGTACTTTAGTATCGCGTTGGACAACGTCAGCAGAAAGAACAAGGATTGGAAATACAGTTTACGCTGGACAACTTCCAGGTTTATTTATTGGTACAGTTGTTCCTGCATTAATTATGAAATATTCAGGCACGGGATGGCCAGCTGTTTTCTATTTCTTTGGCATCATTGGAATAATTTGGTTTATTGTTTGGTGCATGTTGGTGTATGATAGTCCAGAGCAACATCCATTCATATCTGACGAAGAATTGGCACATTTACAAAGTAACAAAAGCATGGAAGAATGCTATTATGGGACATCACCTCCATGGAAGCATATTCTAATGTGTAAAGAATTTTGGGCGTTTACAATATGTGCTAGTGGTAGTAATTGGTCATATTATTCTATGATTACCGACTTGCCAAAGTACATGAGCGGTGTTGTTAAATTTTCAATAGAGGATAACGGATACTTCTCATCGGTGCCATATTTATTTATGTGGTTTAATGCCAATCTCAGTACATGGATAAGCGATAAAGCTATAGAAAAGCGATGGGTTTCTTTGACTAATATACGGAAGATATTTGGAACAATATCCGTAACTGGTCCTAGTGTATTCTTACTCTTGGCGTCTTATGCTGAGTGTAACAAAGTCTGGGTTGTCGGAATGTTTTTCATTGGAATTACAGCAATGGGCAGTTTATATCCTAGTATATTGATGAACCCTTTAGATTTGAGTCCAAGGTACGCCGGCTCGATAATGTCTCTGGGTAATGGTATTGGCGCACTTGTAGGTATTGTCATACCTTATATAACTGGCGTACTTACACCAAATCAAACTATCGGGGAATGGCGATTAGTGTTTTGGATTGTCTTTATATTTTCGCTAATACCAAATTTGATTTATCTTTTATGGTTCAATGCGGAAGTTAAAAACTGGAACGATTTGAAAACCATAAGAAATAAGAATACTATAACAAGAAATAATGTTGACATTGAACTTGAAGCTATAATTAGGTAACCGCTCATAACAGAACTAAAGTATATCTGATTGGATAACACTTGTAAATTTATCATGTGGACACGATTTGTTATCTATATGTATTTAGAAAAGACATCTGTTGTCAAGACATTTTTGCTGAATATTTGCAGAGTAATGAAAGAAACTATTGAAAGATAGCACAAAATATAGTAGAAAGACAAACGCGCAAAAACGATCACACAATTGTTTTGATTGGTAATGAAAATTAAGTATCTAGAACTTGATGTAAATAGAATGTGAAAAAGTATCAACAGTGACGCGAATAAGAATTTATTTATAGTTGCAACATTCATTGAAGCGTTTCAATTTTGTATCATAATAACTAACCGATATCAGCTAGCGAATCATTATTAGAAACCATCATGTAATTTTCTATGAATGCTAACGAGTAAGATTTATGAAAATAGGATTATTAAGGTAGGTATAATCACTGTGGGACTATTTGTAAGCTTGTGCAACTTTTGGTTAACAATGGATTATTTCAATATAATAACTCATTGCATGAGCTTTTAATGGCGTCTTGCTTGTGCTATCGCACTTTAAACCGACCCTCCTTTTTTTACATATGCAAGGACAGTGGATCTAATAGAAACGATTTGGAAAAGAGCGTTTTTACTCTGTACAATCATACTCGATACATGTAAATAAGTTACAATTTTAATATTCCTTATATCTCTAATGCTATAAGACAATCAGTATTATATAGTAATATCACAATTACTTTTTGATTTTGAAAAAAATCGATCTTTTAACTTTAATAACTAGAATAACTAAATTTACTTTAGCTAATTGTCAAATTTTCTCTTTGACTATGTACAGTAAATCAAAACTAGGACATAAAAACACATAAATTACTATATTAAAGTGAATAGAATGACAACGATCCTTTAAATAATTTATGAAATTGAATCAAGATGTTGAATATACTATAATAGTGTTTATTCATAATTTATGATTAATCTTCGATATAGCTCAATATTAGGTGTACTTAAACGATAAAAGTAGTTGGGACGGCATTTTACTTATGTACAAACGAGAAATTGTTGTGATGAGTGATTTTGAAAGAATAAGTAATGACGGATCGAATGGCATATTGCAGTTATATGTTTAGATAAATTAGATTTGCTTATATGGCATATATTCGCCAAAAGAAGATTCAATGGGCTAAAATCGGGCGTCTGATCACAAAACGGCTTCTGCAAAATGGAGTGCGTCCTCTAGGATAATTTGAAACTATGAAACTGTCATTGCTTAACAGCATGAACATAATGCCACAACGTTGATACGCATAAATTCTAAATTCTGACATAATCCCATATTAGGTACAGTCCCATATCGATTTTACCTACCTTAGTATTTTTGTAGAATTATAGATTTAGCGCAAAGACTACATCGTGAAAAAAGTGTCACAAAAATTGAATGAATAAATAATTGTTGATAGTTATCGAAGTACTCAAATATTGTATCATAATCACTAATTTACATATCTTATGATTAATAACGATAATTAGTACATATTAGCTATATTGTAATTTGCTATGATAGAAATTATATTTAAATATAAAATATTCTGTACGTAATTATTTAAAATTATTAGTAGTATTCAAGTTTATACTAATCAATAAATTTGTTATATTTCATTCACCCGATAACAATAAATTTCATTTTAAACGAAAATTGTTTTCTAAGGAGAAATTTGTCTACGTACTTTTTACAATTAGTATATTGTATTTCATGGATTCTAGAAAATATTTTAAATATAGAGCAGCATATAAATCTTTGAATATTCAACTTATATATAACATTCATTCAACAACGGGAGAAAATAAATTTCGCAATAACCACATTTTTTCTCGGTCACTGTAGGGTCCGCAAATAAAAGAGCACGCTGGACGTGCAAGACGCGGAAGCAGCAGTGAAAGACAAAGAGAGACCGGAAAAAATATGAGATAAAAAGGAACGACGTCGACGTTGCGCTCCAACACCAGCAGCTCTCTCGCGTTAGCGTTGTTGGGTGGCGGCAAGGAAGGAGGTTGGGAAAGGATACGGGAGACGTCGAGCGTCGACTGGAGAAAGGCCACATTTGAATGCCACCGGATGGGGTTGGGTGCTCTTTCATCTGGGCTTTGTCGTAACCTTTTCCTCTGCTGCTGCCGCTGCCCCTTTCACCTCGCAGACAACAACGAGGGATTCTCTTGGATGCCCGAGGACACGATGTATAAAAGCTGCCGGGATTTCGTGAAAAGTGGACGAGGCACTAGGTCGATCGTTTTGATAGGTTTGGATAGATGGATTACAAAAACAATGAATTGACGAACAATCAGGGTAATTGTTTTTGTCTGTTATGTTTTATTTACTAGTATCAAGGGGTATATATTTTCAACAATAATTCAATAATTTCAGCAGCTGTAACTGTATGCGATCTTCCTTTGTAGTGGTTATCTCCAACTAAACAGGTTATCCAGTAACAAACTTTGTATCCTTAATGAACCGTAATGCTTTGCGTAGTCCGCGCAAAAGCAGCTAATGGAATAGATTGATAAAGCGGACTGCGCGAGCTTACATTTACGTGAATAATTATAGATTATCATGACGCAATACCTAAAAGTGCAACTCTGTAAATGTATAAAGCTTGACCTTCGCGAAATCAATTTGCGAGAGGAGCAAACGTTAAAAAATAATAAAGGAACTTGAGGAAATTCGGGCGAAGGTGAAGAAAAGGGATTTCTTTCATCGGAAAATAATTAAGCTTTTCTATAGAAATGACGGATTCGGGTGGCACAGGCGCTCGCTCAGTCAACGTCAGAGGTCGACAATGGTTTCAATGGATGGAGCTCTCCTTTATTTAAAGTAGCATTGTGTCCTTTCCTCTCGTTCGCGCTCTTTTTCCTGGCGCCTGGCGGATTTTCTCCTTCTCTCTCAGTCTTTATCCCGCGATCGCCGAGAGTGGATCAGTCGAAATCGACGACTCGACGGATAAGGGGACAGGAGCTAATGAAAAAAAAAATCCGCTCCGTCATGCGGAGAAATCAGACCGGAGTTGATTCTCGCTTAGATTTTGGACATCGCGCGCTCAAGCGACAAACTTAGCGTTTAATTATTAGTAACAAACTTAATTAAACATCAATCTCTTTAATAAGGAAAAAGCACTTGACGCGAAAATATCTCGTGAGATATCAGTTGAAGAATATTTGCAAAAGTCAAATAAAAAATGAATATTTACAGATGCTCTCTAGAAAAATAGCTAGTCACCCACGACGCACATCGGATCACTTGATCCAAACAAAGCAATCCTTCAAAAATCGACTTGGCATGGAATTCAAAGAAAATTGTAAAAACTCGCAGATAAAATCTCCGGCTATAATTCTCGCGGTTCCTTGCAGGCGCCGTTTAGCGGCGCATTGTCGCCAGGCGTTTAAGGAAAGAAAAAAAAAAGGGAGAGAGGGAATGGAATGAGACCGAGATATGCTTCGGTAGGAGCGAACCCCTTTCGCACCCAAAACGGAAACGACTCGAAGGCTGGAATTATTCCAAGCCATTTGTCACCTCTCTCGAACCCCTTTTGCAGCACACTGCCAGCCCACTTGTCGCGTTGTCTTCTTCTTATACTTGTGTCACACCCTTCGATTGCTTGAATCCCTTTTTTTTCCTTTTCTTTTCGTTAGTTACGTTTTATTATTCGATTTCGTACGCCACACTCTCCTCTGTTGCCTCACCGACATTTTTCTCCTTACCTTTATTTTTATATTATAAATGCATTTCTTCGTTTGCAGAGCTCACTTCGTTCCGCCTATAAAAATATAGTCAGTCAACCTGGCGATGCAACATTCAAACTAACTTTGAAATTAATAAAATCATCGCTCCGATGCTTATGATTTTCTCGCTACTCTGCAACACGCTCTTTTTCAATATTTTGCCACTTTTGTTTGTGTTGTATTTCCCCCAAGGTCGCCTATAACTTTTCATAGCCGCGAATCGTCGCACAATATGCCGACAAGAGGCTTACACGCCGCCGCGTGCCTTTTTTCGATCACCCCTTTTCTTTTATTTTATATCGGAAGGCGCGCGCGAGGGCAAGAAGCCGGCGGCTGGATCAAGGGAGCACAATTTTTTCTTTCGCTTTTGCGCACGCAATTCCCTTTCTCTCAGCCGTGAAGCGAACCACCGCGTGATTTTATTTTTTCCAAGCGGCAAAGATTCGCTAGATTCATCGGGAGCGATTACTTTCAGAAAATACGGAAAAGACGCGAACATTGGTTTAGAAATGTCGATCGATAAACGCTACTGTAGCATCTCGTTTAATGAGGGCAATTACCGATTATTTTCATGCTCTTACAAGCTACACGCTGACTAAAAGTTTCGCAAGGCGTCACATACATCAAACGTGAAAGGCGCATAATTTTTAATTTTTGCGCGCTCGCCCACTCCGAAGCAGCGAGCGTTCCACTTAGGAATCGCGGCGATTTCTTTTTCAATAACGTTCACGCAGCCATGCCCACACGCGAGCGTGAGCGCATAGCTGTACGTACGAGAACTCGCGGCAGCAGCGCGTAGATATCTCGGAGGGGATCTAATCTACTAAAAGTCTGCTTAATTATGAGCGTTGCCGGAGAAAGAGAGCGAGCGCGGGTGGGCGCGCGCTTCTGTTTTCGGACTTTTCCATTAGCCGGATGAGTCGTTAGTCTTTTGTTGACTTTTATTGGGGAATGCGGCGTTGCTACTGCTGCTGCTGCTGCTGCTGCTGCTGCTGCTGTCTAGCCGAACCAGAGCTATCTCCGTATTTTTTTTCCTACCCACTCGCTCGCGCAGTTGCGCCTTCTTTTTTACTCGCTCACTCGCGACGGTTCGATTAATGCGCCAAGGTCCGTCGCACAAGTTCCACTCCGTTCTTTCCTCTCGCCTTCGCGCTGCAAAGTGGCATAGCGTTTTTTCGCTGGTTATCTGCGATTGGATTCGCTAATTGTGCACCCGAGGAAGTAGTCTATTCCTTAAAACTGACAACGAAATTTGCTGATTACATCGGAACTGCGTTTCCGTTGTAGGCGTCTTTTTGTGACTAAGAGGAAAAGATGCACTCGTTTGGCAAAATGAGCAACGCCGCTAATCACGCACAGCTCGACAACAAATTAGATGAGAAAGTATCCTCGATGCGTTTTCCTGCCAAGTCCAAAGCAGCTTTGGCAGGACCAAATCGAGGCTATATTTTTCAAGCGGACAATTCCAGCTTTGGTACGAGTTTAAATCTCGAGGCAATTAAATTTCCGGACTCGAAGAGCATTCGCTAGTCGTCCCAAGTTAGCTGCCGGGGACGGCTAACTTGGCGAAGCTGCTTCTCGCGAGAGAGTCCATCGAATCGAGTGGAGGGTTAATTTTCTGGTCAGTTGGTCGCTTCTGCAGGCTCTCGAGGCTTATGGGCCGATCTGCTGGAACGAACCCCGACATAAATATCCGGAATTAGCCATTTCTCCTCTCCATCTCACTCCTTGTGTTTTCTCCGTATGCAGAAGCGAGGGTCCGCGGATCACTTGACCGATTAAGGGGCCGCCGTCGAGTGCGCGACGTTGGGGCCGTGAGTGGATTGACGTAATTGAGGAGAAAACACGAAACGGCCCTCGCATTCTCGTTCTCTTTCTCTTTCTCGTTCGCGATCGTTTCTCTCTCAATCGTTGCGACCTGCGACGGGAAAAGTGCGCGCTCGATGCTTTATGCCTAGTTTGCCTCTCGTTGCCAACCAATACAACTGGCATGCGTTAATTTTTCGCGTTGACGAGTATTCATGCACGCTTTTGCCCTTATTCTCCAGACTTATTACCGATCGAGGAATGTTTTTATAGTTCAACGTAATCACTTTCAGTATCCAGAATTATCATGACAAATGTAATGTATCCATGAACATCCATTAATACACTGTTAAAGGTACATTAAAAAATCAAGTACATCTTCCTTTGACTCAGTACATGCGGCTCAAGACTGATCAAATATTTATACCGAAAGCTCTTAAGTACGCATTATCCCTTAATTTCCGGAAGCTTCGCGCAGCGCAAAAAAAAAGGGTCCACTTGAAAGGATCTTCCGATGTATCAGAGTAACAGGACCCTTATTCACGATCCCCTCGATCTAATGACCAAGGTACCATCTCATCGCGTGTGTAGGTCTATGTGTACACGAGATACTCCTGAGGAGCCAGCAGACTTTTTGAAAAGGGTTAAGAGGATCAGTTGATCTAGACAAAAGACCAGAGGGCCACTCGCTTAGACCCTCGCATGTATCCAGCTTAAAGCTGGACCACAGTTTAAACGTCGCGGCAAAGCTCCTTAATCCTAAAGCAGTCGCATCAGAAGCACTTTCTAAAAACTAGATACGTCGTTGACGAATTGTCTCCTGTACGAAAGATTCAAACGCGTGAACGCGGCTTCAATTACCATTTCTTGTTCTAAATCAACAACGGTACATCGATCAACTTTTCTTCGAAGAAGAGAACCAACTTTTTTTCAAAGCAGCGGATTTCAATTATGAAGAGAAAATGCTTAAAATGGGAGGAAGGTTTACCAGGGCAAAGATATAAAAGCGAGAGAAAGAGAGAGAAAAAGAGAGACAGGGACGAGAAAAAAAGAAGGAGAAAGGCAGAGAGCAAT